GACAAGACATTTGGAAACCGGTATCACTTGGTCCAACCCATCCATCGCATTAAGAATTTACTAACTGCTGTCACTAAATGAGGTATCTTATTTTATTGTTACCATCTTCCATAGTGGATAGTGAAAACCTCTGCTATGATGGATACTTTTAGTGGGCAGGGGGCAGTGGGGCTTAGTGTATGGAACCAAGGGAGCGGTGGCCTGAGGAAGTTCTGGAACCACTGATCTAGACCAACCGGTTCTCTTGCGGTTATTTCCATCCTATGTTAATGATGTGGTACTATACTACAGCCGGAAGGTCGCGGGTTCGAGTCCCGATGAGGTGATTTTTTTTTCCAATTTACCTTATTCCAGCCGCATTATGGCCCTGGGATCGACTCAGCCTCTAACAGAAATGAGTACCAATAATCTTCCTGGGGGGTAGAGGACGGCCGGCGCGTAAGGCTGACAATCTTACCACCATCGAGAATATGTGAGAGCCTCAACATCTCGCAACCCAATGGGCCTCCACGGCTTGTTACAGGGATAGCTTTGCTTTACCTTTTTACCTATGTTAATAATGTAATTTAGTGACTTTGTAATGATGACGTAACGGTGTACGTCATCCGATTATGATTTACCCTCTAAGATGTTTTAGCCACACTACACATTTCTGCCTGAGCCCGGATCTGTTGACGTTCCTATGACTTGCAGAGTCTGAGCCCGGGAACAGTACGCACCGACCTGCCTGAAGCTTCAGGACTCACAGATCCTTATCAGGACAACCCGTACCTTGAACCCCAAGACGTAGCGGACGCCGTGGTCTACGTACTGGGAACCCGTCCGCATGTTCAGGTGAGTCTGGATTATAAACTTACTTGACTCTACGGTAAAGGGATCGAAGATACAACAAAAACGCCCGCCACTGAACAAGATCTTTAACCACTCCCATCTAACAACCATATTCAAGAACTTCCGAGCATTTTATGGAACCCGAAGGTTCCTTACCATATTTACAAGAGCCCTCCACTTGTCCCTATCCTGAGCCAGATCAATCCAGTCCATACCACCCCATCCGTAAGATTCATTTTTATATTACCACCCATATAGGTCTCTACGTCTGTATATAGTATTCATTGTCCTTAAACGGGTTTATTGATCCTCGTGCCTTATGACGATGGAAAGTCAGTAAAAAGGCCAAAAATGGATATAAAACATAACACATGTAATATTCAAAACTAAAAAAAAAACCGTTATTTCTCGACATATCCTCCACCAACATTCATACACTTGTCCCATCGCCTTACCAGTGCGTCGAAACCAGCAGCGTGGAATTCTTTTCACTGTTGTCTCAGCCGCTTTCACACCTCTGTTTAAGCCTCTTCGTTATCAGCGAAACGTTTTCCGCCCAGCTGTGAATCGCTTTACGAGACGAACACTTCCCACCGTAAACAGGAAAACATTTCTTTATGTTGCATTGAGTCCTTTTGCCCACAAAAAATGCACAACAGAACGCTGCTCTTCGATAGTACACTCCTCAAGCACGGTCGCCATTTTGACTACTGAAACCACCATCTGAACATGCGCGTCTGCTACCTAGACTGTCATGAAACTGGACTATGCAGCTACCTAGTGATAACACATAGAAAACCTATTACGTGCATTACGGCTGTTCTACTTCAATTTGTGACCTTTTTACTGACCCTCCCTCGCACAGATATTGCTAAGATATTTGTGTAAAGAGGGCAAGTACTAGAAGCATAGCAATAAATTATGCACCCAACAGTTATTTTTAAAAAGATCTGTCTTCTGGGACATAACGGCGAGGACTGCGTTCAAAGCTTGCTGCCTGCTTCACGTTTGTTTCTTGCTTGGCTTACTCTTTGGCTCTGAAGATGGAGGCGACATGTTCCTCCGAAACATCGGTTGAGTTACAACGGACTACATGATGTTATGTCCCAGAAGATAGAACTATTCACGACCACCACTGTGAGAACCTCAGATTCGCTTGTTTCAGGTCAGTGAACTGATCATCAGGCCAATGGGCGAGACTCGGATATGAACTGCGTCCCTCGAAGTATGCACAATTATGTATATAATATTGCGCCTTCAATGTCTACCGTGTATTTGTATCTTAAAAGGGCACAATAAACCCTAAACTTTATTTTCAATAATGTTCGAAGTCATTAACCCACTCAGTTGTCCTGCCTCCATTTTATCATGACTAAAATCACTATTCTTATTCAGCCACTCCCCTCACCATATCCTCCAGCCTATTTGGGTAAACTTGCGAAAATATGTCTACTCCTGAAAACTAAGAAAAACAATTTTACATTCTTACATTCTCTTACATCAAAGGAAGAACAAAATTGGAATGTATCTGAAAGCAAAGTTCAGATGAAATGACAGGAGTACATGGAGAGGGGCTCTTAGACTGTGAGTTTTATGTATTTTACTGAAAGAGCCGGGGCAGCGCAGTCGGTATAGCGTCTAGCTACGGGCTAGAGCACCGAATGTTCAGAGTTCGAGTCCCGGTAGGGTCAAGAATATTTCTCTTTTCCACGTCTTCCAGACTGACTCTGGGGCATACCCAGCCTCATAGCCGAAGAGTACCGGAGGCTCTTTCCCCGGTGGGTAAAGTGGTCGGGGCGTGAAGCTGAACTAGTACCGAGGTCAAGAAAACGTAGATCCATACATCCACTCAGGGGCGGCCCGTGTACAGGCACTGTGGAACTGCAGCACCCCCAATTTCCACTTGATATTATCGATAACATTTATATAATGAGTCCTCTTTTCTTTAATTCTTTCTTTATACTTGTACAATACAATATATAATCCTTAAGCTTAATGTCAGTAGCCAAATCTTTGTATGGAACTGTGCGCTTCCGGAGCAGCACCCCCACTAATTTTAGCTACGAGCCGCCACTGCATCCACTCCCCCATATGTCTTCATTGCGTAGTGCTTAATTAGTTAAGCACAGAGTCAACTCTACCATAGACCTAATTACGGGAGGGTTTGGTTTTACGAGTCTCCAATGTGGAGAAGAAATAGCAAAACAATTTACAATAAAGAAGTATAAAAGTTCGATTCGAAAATATAGTTGACAGATATGCAGGAAGTTGAGTAGATAAGTTGTGAACATGGCACTCAAGAAAACAATGCCACCAATCCAGTCAGTCAGTCAGTCAGATTGCTAGCCAGTCTGTCAGCCAGCATTCCAGTCAGGCGACCAATTAGCCAGCCAGTCAGTCAGGAATTCTGACCTGAGAACCTCAAATATCAGCAATGTATATAAAAGTCGTGTCTCTCTTTGTTCGTCCGCATGCTTAATCTCCAAAATTACTGACCTAACCTCGATTATATTCAGTATTTTGAGGGGTTCTGCACCAAAATACGCACCTAATTTCGGTTCACATCGATCCCAACTTTTCCATTAAGTAAAGAGACGTACTGTGACATGACGCCCGAAAGCCTGAATAGTGGAGGAGTTCACGTTCATAGCTAGAGCAACGGCTCGGTAAACACGTTCCCGCAGCAACCAATACGCAAGCAAGAATGGAAGGATTATTAGGAAACGATGTTTCTGTTGGGTCCGCCCCAAGCCTGTTTAACGAGTGCCCCAGGCCAGCTGAGTGAATGGGAAAAAAGGGACCCCAGTGCCTGGGGGTATAACTGGGCTACCCTGTACCTGGGGGTATAAATACGGGGACCTGGCTCTCTAGGTTAGGGGTCTTGAAAGCGAGAAGGTAAAATGTAGTCATGAGTCTCGCGGGGCTCGGACCTGTGAATGACTGCGCTGGCGAGGACGATCCTATCGTCAGAGACGATGTTACTAAAGGACTATGACAGCAAGCGTTAAGTTAAAAAATATTGGTCATGAGTCTCAAGGGGCTTGTTGCCAAGACGAACTGATTGGGGGTAAACCGCCAGTCGTAAAGAAAATCTGAGTAACTGGGAGTTAATTGAGAACGGGCAGTCGAAGACAACTGAGAACAGATGGAAACGAAACAGTTGGCAGGTGCAGCACGGAAATGGTTTGAGAGTTCCGGAGTTGGCAGTTGGCAGGTGATTGAAAAATCCAGAGAGTTCGTTGAGGGTTGCGACTTCAGTTGACTTGGAAATCCGGTTGTGAAAAGAAGAATTTATGTGTGCTGCAGTTACAGTGAGACTCTTATAAATCCGTTGCCAGGATACGACTAGTGAAGACTGAGAATACTTAGCGTGTCCTGGTGATTTATAAAGGTGAAGATTAGCGATAACGCTGTAGTTACTTGTAGTTCCGAGTGGTGTCAATAAATCCAATATCCAATCCATACCCCGTCTGTAGTCACGCACGCACACCTAATAAGAGTATGTGACAGTATCAATACGTTTTAATACATACTTTTTGAAAATGATTGTTAATGACCTAAAATCAACCCTGTGCGCCAGTACAGACTTTTGGGGGGGAGAAGAGGCGAGTTCTAAACCAAGTCACCTCTCTAGTGTTCGTTGGTTTCAACATCTAACCTGCGATTGGCCCTGTATAATCCAACCACCCACCCAACCTGTTTTCCACTCTACCCAAGTAATAGAGGAACAAAGGGAAAGAAGAGGAAGAGGAAGAGGAATAGAAAAAGAATAAGAGACAAAGGTGGACAGAAAGTAACGAAAAGATGGACCCCAGTGTTTCAGTGACGTGAACAAACTTCACTACGCTACGCCTCGCGATGAGGTCATTGGATTTTTTCAGTTGAGCTAAACCTTCCAGCCGCACTATGGTCCTGGGATCGACTCAGCCTCTAACAGAAATGAGTACCAGGAATCTTTTTGAAATATTCTTGGGGGTAAAGTGCGGCCGGCACGTAAGGCTGACAGTCTTACCGCCATCTATTAGTCGATTGTCTAGAAAATGTGGGAACCTCAACATCTCACAACCCTACGGGCCTCCACGGCTTGTTACAGGGATAGCTTTACTTTTTTCCTTTTAACTACGTATGTACCGATGCAGAGAAGAGCTGGGAAATTATTTCGGCTCGCGAGCCCTCTCACGGGCTGATTTATGTTTTGTGGGTCACTCTTCTTTATTGGTACAAAGTTGAAAATGATAAACCCATATTCCTATACAGAAGTAATTGAATTCTGCATCATTAATATGAGGAGTCAGGATAGCTCAGTCGGTATAGCGACGACCCGGTTTATATTTGCGGCAAGGAAATATTTTCTTCTCTTCCCAGTGTCTGGTGCCCACCCAGTGGGCAGTGGGTACCGGTGGCCATTTCGTCGGGAGTAAAGCGGACGAGGAGTAAAACTGACCACTCACCTCCATCTAGTGCTGAGGCCAAGAATGGTGGAGCAATACCTCCTCTGCTCAATTGTCTTCATGGCATATAACTAAACTCTACGGCCTGTAGTCCGCAAGAGAACTATGCCGACCGAGCGACAGCCGCTTGTCGGCGAAGTCAGTGCCAACTTTGGCGGATAGAGGGTGTAACGTGGTGAGCGCAACGGATCCCCACGGCCGTTAATCTCGGTTTTCTAGACCGGACCGCTATTACCTTGAAATGGCTCCTCAGTTATCCTCATGAGGCTCAGTGGACCCCGTTCCAGACCCTCCACTTCTCAGAAAATCTGGTAGCGCCGGGAATCGAACCCGGGACCTCTGGATCTGTAACCAGGAACTCTGACCACCTGACCACAGAGGCGGTCCTTCATGGTATATTGCTTAATTAATTAATCACACGGTCAACTTCACTTTTTATCATTAATATATGTTAAAAAGAAGGTTAAAATTCAACAAAACAAAACAGGATGACAGAATTCTATCTTCTGGGATATAACCATGTGCAGTCTGGTGAAAATCGACCTTAAATTTCGGAGAAACATGTCATCTCCGTCTTTACGGTGACGCAAGAAGCCAGCTCAAAACAAGTTGCAAGAGGCATTACTTCCCAGAAGTCAGAACTCTTCAGTAACCGCTGTGATAACCTCAAATCCCAACTCACTCAAGGCTAACCTGCAGCATATGACGTCATTACGTGATGAAGTGATGCCTACAGCAAGTTACAGACGTTTCGACAGCAAAGAAGACGCCAGTTGTCTTAGCTTCATAGCGACACGATTTCTCTCGGGTACATCATACGCTGTTGGCTGGTAACAGGTCAGTTAGACTTGAAGCTATCATGTGTTGATTGTCGATTGTTTTCTGAGATATGACGTCGTGTAGTCTGGGTATAAGTTCACTGACTCAACGAAAAATGTCAACACGCCTGGACTGCATACTCAACACTATTGAACTCAAATATCCTTCACTGATAAACAAGTGAAACTGCCAACACGACTTTCATACATACATTCTTTTCAGAGGATTCGGAACAACTAACTTGGTAGAGCGATGGGCTACGGGCTGGACGCCTGGGTTTGATTCCCGTCAAGGGCAATGTTTTTTCAACTTAACAGCGTCCAAACTGACTCCGGGGCCCAACCAGCATTCTATACAATGGGAACGGGGGGGGGGGCTTTCTCTGGGGAGTAAAGCGGCTGGGACGTGAAGCTAAGCACTAGTGTCGGGGTCAGTTTACATGGCGTGCTGCTTAATTAACTAATACCAGGGATAAATGTACGGTCTTTCAGCTGTGCTTATTCTTCTGTTTACTTCACCATACAGGCAGTATTGTCTGTCCCAAACAAAAACTCTGCTGATACTAACTAACGAACTGACTACATGGAACCGAGCCCTTCTTGAGAAGCCGACAGTTGTACAGCTACTCTAGAACTTCCCAACATTTTATGGCACCCGAAGGTTCATTACCGTGATCACAAGAGCCTTCCACTGCTCCCTATCCTCAGCCAGATCAATCCAGTCCGTACCATCCCATACTATCGCTCTGAGATCTAATTATCCACCCATCTACGTCTTGGTCTTCCTTGTAGTCTCTTTCCTCCTGGCTTTTCCATCAAAAGCTATACGTATCTCGCTTCCCCCATGCGAGCTACATGTCCTGCCCATCTCACCATCCTTGACTTGATCATTCTAATTATACTTGGCGAAGAATACACGTTACGAAGCTTCTCACTGTGCAGTTTTCTCCAACCTTCTGTCACTTCATCCCTCTTTGGTTCAAATATTCTCCTCAACACCCTGTTCTCAAACACCCTCAAGTCTAAGTTCCTCCCTTATCCCGCCTCTGCCGCTGCAGAGTTCGTTGTAACACAAAGGCATTACTCTCTGAAACCAGTTTTAGGTAAAACGTAAAACGCAATGTGAATATTTCTTCAAGGTCTGAGATCAACAATCCCACAGACTTATCCTATAAAAATGTCGTGTCGAAGAGTACCGACGTTTCGTAGGAACGTGTTGCCTCCATCTTTAGGGTAGAATAAGCTGTGTAAGATACCAGCGTGAAAGCAGGTGGCAAGCTTTCGAAACATCAACTGACCTTAAACGGACTACATAACGTCACATTCCAGAAGATGTTAGTACTCTTCGAAGTCACCGCTGTGAGATCCTCAAGTCCAACACGTGTTGTGCTGTTTGCGTCTGCGCACTACACATTTCGACCGTAGAAGGTGACTGTGAAGTGACACATATAAACCGGTCGGAAATATACAGGTACCTATATATATATAGGTACTGTACCAACAAATTCCTTAAAACATAAAATAGGCTAGATACTCTCTTTCTCTCTTTCTTTCCTCTTGCTCCCACTTGGAGCATCGGGCATACGTGAAACGCTTCGTTTCACTTCAGTTTCTTAATCTTAAGACAATCGGTAGGACTCCTTGGACGGGGGATCAGCCCGTCGCAAGGCCACAAACACAGAATAAATCACACAAACATTCATGCCTTGAGTGGGATTCGAACCCACGACCCCAGTGCCCCTAATGAGAGACTGAGCTGGCTTGGACTCCGATCCTTGAACGCACTAGCAGTACTAACAACAAATTTATTTACAAATTTCGTTTAAGCAACGCAAGATTGTTTCTACTGACCAGCCTAGAGTATTCAGCATAGAATAGGATATTGAATTACTTTCAATGCCCGGCATAGTGCAGTCGGTATAGTGACTGACGATCAAGTGGTCGGAGTTCGAGTCCCGGTAGGGTCAAGAATCTTCTCTTCTCCACGTCGTCCAGACCGGCTCTGGGGTCCACCCAACCTCCTATACAATGGGTACAAAGGACTCTTTCACCGAAGATAAAGCGGCCGGGACGTGAACCTGACCACTTACCTCCAGCTAGTGCCGAGGTCAAGGAAACGTGGATCTATACATCCATTCCCCCATACGTCTTCGTGACGTAGTGCTTCATTAGTTCAGCAGAGGGACAAATTTTCCCTTTTTTCCTTTCAGTTTCTCACATTAATATTTCATGCAGCTCCTTCCTTTTTCAGTTTAATTTTTCCTTTCAAAATTCTGGAGGCGGCGGGTGTGTATAGCGAAGCGGAACTGCTTATCACAACAGCAAAGTTAGAAGTCGCTGTTGCGGTGTAAACAACACACTGCTTATCGCCAGCGAGGGACGATTAGGCACAACCTGCCAGTGTCTATCTAGGGAAACATCATTCTGTGTGCTGTGATAGGGTAAACGTCACGATAAGGCAACTTTACACAGATACCGATTGCACTTGGACAGAAAACACAGGCCTTTATAAGTTACACTGCTGGGTGTAGCGACAAGCAAACGGTCACAGCTATCGGGCAGACATGTACACCAAGGCAGTTATCTTCTTTGCGCTCGTCATTGCTATCTTCTCTGTGGGTAAGTTGCCCTAAGGTCGTTTTGTGACTCATTTCATATTTCATCCTCCCTCAATTTATCTAGAACAGTCTGTTGGCTCCTGCTCTCAATGGTTCTTCGCTTGCGGATTTTTTTCTTTTTTTCTTCTACCCTGAAGTTGGGGGCGATGCGTTCCTCCGAAACGTTGGTTAACACAATATCTACACGGCGCTACATCCCAGAAGACTGCTTTCTTCGTAGAACAGACTTCATTTGCTTAATTGCTTTACTGTAAGCCGCAATGTCGCGGGTTCGATTCCCGATGAGATAACTGGATTTTTTCATTTCACCTAATCCTTCTAGCCACACCATGACTCAGCCTCTAACAGAAATGACTACCAGGAATCTTCCTGTGGGTAAAGGGCTGCTAGCATATAAGGTTGACAACCTCACCGCCATCTATGAGCCGATTGTCTAGAATATGTGGAAGCCTTGACGTCTCACAAACCTATGGGCCTCCATGGTCTCTCACAGGGATATCTTTACCTTTTTTGTGGGTCATTTCTTGACTCTGTCAGTATCTAAACCATATAGGGTACAATGGGGGGCATGATTAATTTGAGTAGCCTTGAAATGAGGCGGTGTGATCTAATCTATTCATGGATTGTCGTGGAGAGACTGAGGAAAACCTGTCAATACAGAAGGTATCTCAGCCGAAATTTAGCCCAGCACCTCCAGAACAGGTCAAGAGCGTTATCGAGCCAACCCGCTCGGTAAAGTTAAAGTTAAAGCTATCCCTCTATTTTTTTTTAATTCGCTTAGTGGAGGGTGGAGTCCAACTGGGTTCACTTGGCACGTCGGCCACTGACTGGCCTATTGTACCCACCCCGGGTGATTTTGATGATGGAGAATTTGGTGGAATGAAGATTGGCAGGGAAAACCGAAGTACTTGGAGAAAACCCGCCACAGCGCCACTTTGTCCACCACAAATCCCACTTGACCAGACCCAGGATCGAAGCCGGACCGCCGCGGTGGGAAGCCAGAGACTAACCGCTTGAGCTATGGCGCGGCCAAGCTATCCCTGTAACAGACCGCGGAGGCCCATAGGGTTGTGAGATGACGAGGCTCCCACATTTTCTAGACAATCGGCTCACAGATGGCGGTGAGGTTGTCAACCTTACGTGCCGACCGCCCTTTACTCCCAGGAAGATTCCTGATACTCATCTCTGTTAGATGCTGAGTCGACCCCAGGGTCACAATGCGGGTGGAAGGATTAGGTCAATTGAAAATTCCAGTTACCTCATTGCAAATCTTAGCAATCCGCCTTCCTACCAGCCCGGACATAATACACGTAAACAGACGTACCCGTTAAACAATATCAAAACTGTATAATACTGCACGCATACCAACGGGCCTCCAAGCATTTTAACCATTTCATTCGTGTACACATGCAAGAGAACTGACGCCATATGTCCGCAAAAACTCTATGACATAACATTAGGACTACAACAACCTACCTTAATTATGACTAATTATATGTATAGTTCTTAATTATATTTTAATTATGTAACTTATCCCGTTTAAAATCTTTATCTTTCATTGTATTTTATGCTTTATATTATTATATTAAGGCATACTGTCGAAAATCCAACACTGCACTGAATTATATTGTATGCAATTCGGTAGCTTAAGAACACTTTAATTGTGTATTTGCCTGATGATGGCTTTCTAAAATGCCGAAAAATATAGCAAAATACTTTTAAACAGCAACTGTTTTGTTGCTGCGATGGGACGGAATTTAAGAAAGAAATTTATATGATTCAGCTAACTCAGAATGTTACCCAGTTGTGTACTATGGTGAATATAGCGGTGGACCTTTGGGCCCCATAAATGATAGGGAATTTCTTTGACTATTTGGGCGACTATCAGATTCCCAAGAATATCCCCGTTTAGTCGAATATGATTCGGTTTATTTACTTACAATATCCCCCTGGAATTTTGGAACATCACTCCTCACCGGGGAGTCTTATTGCTTTTTGTTATTATTGTTATTATTATTATTATTATTGGAGGGTGTGGGTTTTCCCATGCACTTAGACCAGTTATTGGTCCATTGTGCGTCCCCCTTTAATTTCTACTGTCGCCATACCCTACCGGTACTGGTGCGTGCTATCAGCCCCGTTCAGCCAACGAGGTCGGCCGTCGGTACATGATATGTACCCCATCTACCAGAGGCATTGGAAACTACTTGGGCGGGAAATTGTTGCCTAATTTTGCTCAGAGGTCTCCTAGAGACATGAGGATCTTTTACGTGCCGTAAATCTACGACACGGGACCCACGGCTTAAAGTCCCTCCCGGAGGACTTGTTCCCTGAATTTTTCCGCCCTTAAAAATTCCACGACCTCCGCCAGGTTTGAACCCACGTGCCTCGAGTCATGAGGTGGGAACGTTACCACCGAGGAGTCTTGGTTCCTTTCCGGGTCCCGGGTGACATCATGTGAGATTCTTGGCGAACGAAGTAAATTTCTTCGGTTTTTACCCTCCTAATTATAAGTCACCCCTTGTTCCATATTCATCACCCCAAACAGGCAGCACGTTGTCGTAACTTCGGTATTTACGTGTGGCGCTTCAGTGTTTGCCTGATTACAAAGTAAGGAGTCTAAACAATTCTAAAAATTGTGTTTTGCAACAGAGGCTACGTGCCAGAGGGAAGCGGATATACTTCAACTACTAGAACCGATTTTTCGCAAGGTAAGAATTATTCTACATGTTTCTTGCAGTCTAATTCTGACATATTCATAAACATAGCATAAACCAACACAAAGACATCCATGTCTAAAGCGGGATTCGAACTCAGGATCCCAGCTTTCAAGCGAGCGAAGATAGTTCATGCTTAGACAGCGCGGCCACCATGATCGGCGAATTATATAATATTTTAGAGGTTAATCATGCTTTATATGCAGGCCTACTCTTATTAATCAAAACGATTTTTTTTTTTTTGCAGATTCTGCAATTGGTTGTAAAGCTTGTCCCTGATAGGTCAGCAACGAACCGGTAACTTAAGGACCTTCTAGACAGGTTTGTCCCTTTTGTCGTTTGCCTCACACTCAAATGTAAGCTTAGGGAGTATACACGCAATTCCAGAGGGCAGAGCATTAAGTAAATATCAGGAACAGACTGAACTAGGGGAAACTTTGCCACATTCAGTTCATCTTTTGTCTTTCCGTCTGCTATTTAAAAATATATCCACACTACAATCTTTCTTCAAGACTATTGTCTGTCGTGTGATTTGCCTGTGCCTTGAAATAACTCCTTCACTGGTCCCTATCCTGAGCCAGATCGATCCAGTCCATTCCACTGCATCCTATCTAACATCCATTTTAATATTGTCCAGTCACCTATGTCTTGGTCTTCCCAGTGGTCTCTTTAATTCTGGCTTTCCCACCAAAACCCTATATGCATTCCTCTTCGCCCTGTTCATGCTACATGCCCTGTCCATCTCATCCTCCTTTAGTTCATCATTCTAATTACACTTGGAGAAGAATACAAGTTATGAAGCTCCTCATTATGCAGTTTCCTCCAGCCTCCTGTCCCTTCATCTCTCTTCAGTCCAAATATTCTCCTCAGCACCCTGGTCTCAAACATCTTCAGTCTGTGTTCCTTACTTAATATCAGAGATCAAGTTTCACACCCATACAGAACCACAGGCAAAGTTATAGTTTTGTATATTCTGTTTATGTTTCTGACACCAGATGAAAAGACGTAAGTTCTGGACTGAATGGTAGCAAGCATTACCCGAGTTCAATCGCCTCTTAATTTCCTCCTGAATCATGTTTTGATTTGTTACTGTCGTTGCCAAATATCTGAACTGTACCACATTTTCAAAGCATCTGTTAGCTGCCTTTATGTCATGATTCTTCCTGCATTCTGGTGACGAGACAGCAACATATACTTAGTTTTCTCTGTGTTTACTTCTAGACCAACCTCCTTACCAGCGTCAATAGAAGTTTGTGTTCCATTTAATTTCAGTACCTCCTGGTTTTCCTGGACCATCCTAATGGCATATATTAAAGCAAAGTTTAAAAGTTCTGGCGATAAAGCACCTCCTTCTTGTAGACCATTCTGGATATGAGAATTACTGGACAGATGTCTACCTATACAGACTTCACTATATATTTCGTTTAAACACACTTTAATCAGCCTAACTAGTTTCAAGGGTACCCATAACTCTATGCGAATGCTGTACAATCCTTCCCTCCTAACTGAACCATACCCTTTCCTGAAGTCTACGAACAGCTGATGTACTGTCTCATTGTACTCCCAATTTTTCTCCAGTATCTGACAAATGCAAAAGATCTGATCTGTAGTTGATCTGTTACGCCGAAATCCAGAACGATGATATCCAATAATTTCATCTGTATATAGACTTAACCTTGAGAGAAGAATATTAGATACAATTTTGTATGAAGTTGATAGCAGTGATATCCCCGACAATTACCACAGTCTGTTCTATCGCCCTTCCTGTTTCTTTAGCTTAGGACGTTTATCCAAAGGATCCGTCCAGGTCCGAGGCCCTATGTGACATTTCGTAACAAGCGTATTATTTACGGAGAGGAGTCGTTAGCCCCACGCCCAACTCTCAAGCTGATGGACCACCCACTGTCGGCTGTCCGCGACTGCTTATTCAATATATTCGCAGCTACTCTCCATACCTAGAGGCCGTCTCCTCCATCCGCAACCTGAGGAGGCGCCATGCTGTGGTGACAGGGACCCACCTAACATGGTTATTCATCACATTACAAATTAAAATTCATTCACTTAAATATTATTATCTCGATTTCAAATATTTCTCCCTGGTAACACTTTTCATTTAGAGCTTCTAACTAAAATGCCAAGCTCATCTCTATTTGTGCTACATGCTCTGCCCATCTCAACAATCTTTAATATCCATTATTTTTGCTATGAGACACTAATGAATTCCCCCTGACTAATTGAAAGTTTGTTTTTTTTTTGCAGATGCCAGCTGCAGTTCCTGCAATATTATCTAATATTTATATATGTAAATGGAATAATTTAAATCTTGGAAACTGTGTTAATATTATGCCTAAAAGAAACAACTGGTGTAACGATTTAATAAATGTGATGTGTAACAAATAAAGGAAGAAGAGTGTTTGGGTCCAATTTTTAAGAAAATGCTTTTTCCCTATTTTTCACTGCTAGTTTTGGAAGATTTTTTCTTCTCATAATTGCAAGATGTTTTTATATACTGCACACATTGTATGCTGTAATTTAATTCAAAATATCAGTTTCCAGAAATGATCAAGTTACAGACTGTGAAACACACATAATAATAATTTTTTGAGAATTTGAAAGCTCTGAGGAAACTAAAAAGAGGTACAATTTATGACAAAACAGCATAATTATTTAATATCGTGCACCGCATCCAAAGTAAAACTACGTTTATGAATACACTGTAGAATGGAGACCCTTTGCTAAGTAATGACTATGTAAACAGCCGATTCTAGGCAACAGATTCCCAAAACTCAACAATGGACTACCTGGGAAGCGGCGTTCTCTACGCGGTCCGTGAGATAGCTGCGTGACGCAGCAATAGAAAAAGTGTTGGAAACGGTGTTTTCTGTGTGGTTCGCTCCGAGGCCATATCACTCAACCGACCGAGTTCAATTCAGTTAATATAAGAGACTTAAACTTGACGGCGGTCAAAAATACGAACGATCACGTGACTAGACTGCCGTTGTAGCGGAAGCTACTAGAAATAAGACAAAATCTGCTGTACTGGGCCTGGACTGACAGAGGCCCTGTATATATTGTATATACATTTTTAACACGTTTAATATGTAAAATCTAAACATCTTTCGCATTATGACAAATAACTTATTACTGCAGACAATGGCTCTGACAAAAGACAGACCCGTCCTCTCGTCAGAGAGAGCGCCCCAGAATAACAAGACTGTAACTGTCAAACGGTAATAAATATCTGGTCATGAGTCCTAGACTGGGCTCGACACCAAGACTGAATGACTAACTGACTGACTGACAGTCGTAATGTGACTTTGACTTTGAGTTGATAGTCAGTTGTAAGGGAATTTGTGAAGGGAAGACTTGGTCGGTACAGTTGAAGAATCTCCACTGCTGGAAGCCGTTGCCAGGGAACAGCTGGTGAAGACAAGGCAGGCTGGAAAAGGCCTAGTGGGTGCTGCAGTGATTTGTGAATTGTGGAGATTAGAGATGATGCTGTAATTACTTGCATTTTCGAGTAGTGTGTATAAAGTGGACAATAACATTCACCATTCCAAACCCCGTCTGTAGTCACCCCTATACAAGACAATATATTACCAGCCTGCTATGCCCTTACCAATTGTACAAAGCCCACAAGCAAACCTAATATAACTTGAATAGAGCTTATAACTGCTACTTACATATTAATTTTAATTTCTGTCTCATTGTATGATGATTAACTACTAGGTACATGCTAATACATTACATATATAATACTTACATTGGTTCAGGAACAAGGTCATCATGTTCATTCACTCGGTATAACACTTCACTTCACTTCACTTCACTTCACTGCACTTGCCTCATAAAACTATTCTGGAGTATGCAAACTGTAGGTATGTTGATGACAAGACAGTACAGGGGTGGATTATCCAGGGGCTTTGTTTAGAAAAAACGACTGATGTGTCCAATGTCAAAACAAACTTCATGTGAACATATAAAGGCACAAGTAAAAAACGAAGGGCATTTCATTTCGGGTTTGAATATGTACTTGGAAACTCTACAAGAATTTCCTTGTTTTGCTTTTCTTTTCAATATGTAGGTGGTTTCTCAGAACTGCATTCATGTTTTCACCAGTAGCTTTCGAGTACAATATGAATGTGTTATTTCATTAATTCTAATTCACAATGTAGTTACATATTACTTTACTGACTACCTGGATTTTCCGATTATCCAAGGAAATGCATTTCTTATCCAGCCCCGGATAATCACTTCCTCACAGTAATTTAGTATGGGGTACTGTAAAAAAGTAAAGGTATCCCTGTAACAGGCTTTGGAGGCACATAGGGTTATGAGATGGCGGCAAGGTTGTCAGCCCTACGCGCCGGCCGCCCTTTAGCCTCAAGAGTATTCCTGCTACTCATTTCTGTTTGAGGCTGAATCGACCCCAGGGCCATGGTGCGGCTAGAGAGATTAGGTCAACTGAAAAGATCCAATGACCTCATCGGGACTTGAACCCGCGACTTTCCGGCTTGTAGTACTGTTCTTCATACACTTTGTCATGTTTTACACTGTCGAACTTCAGTAGCTCTGCTTTGAAGGTTAGGATTAATCATGCACATAATACTGTTTTCAGCGTCCCTATATTGTTATTTTATAATAATTTACCTAACCTCTGGGCACAGTTTGGAATTTTTAACAATGACACATGTATTGACACTCCACTAAAACAAACTTTTTACTTCATGTCACTTCGCACTTCCTGTCAGCCACATGTCCTTCCGTACTACGCAACCCCACGATTTTTGTTTGTTCAGGTTCGCCACAACACTAAAAATACCTTCACGTATAATGTAAATTCCACTCAGACGCGGTTTGTTCGAAAAGGAAAATATGCATGAAGCTAAATTTGGGGTTCAAATAATCCCACTTCAAGCCCTCTCAATACTTGTATATCCTAAAAGTTTATTTTATACAATTGGAAACAAAATAAAGGCTTAAATTATACCACCTTATTAATACCAGGAGATACTAACAAGTGCAGAGACGTCTTGGGGTAAGAGCGCAGCTCAAGAAGAGTCGAATCAATATGAGGTTTTTAATTATACAGAAATCATCTTCTTACAAAAGTTCCTTCTTTCCTATTTTCCTCAATATCTGTCCTGTGTATCCCTCAGTAACTTACGAACGCCTGAACCAGTCATTAAATTTGATTGTACATCATGGCAACTGAGCCCTTCTCAAAGGCGTTCTTCGTAAGTCTCTCCTATCAGTCTGTATGTGTATCCTTCCTAACGTTACTAGGCAACGGCTCGGCAAAAAAATACCTAATTTCTTTTATTAATTTCATTTTAAATTCTACACGTATATTTGTGGTTGAGGTTAAGATGATACTTACTTACTTACTCATGGAGATGAGCCCTTCTTGAGGAGCCGCCAATTCTGCAGCTACTCAAGAATTTCCCAGAATTTTATGGAACCCGAAGGTTAAGATGATATCTTGAAAAAAATAACAATATTTATATTTAAGTTTAGCCTTTACATCCCGTCGGGGCAACCCCTTACCCCTTGCACCATAGTATCTATGCTCCTGATGCAACTAGACCTGTCCACAGAAATAAGGACAGTAGGGTGTGTGTGTGTCAAGGGCCCAAACTACAAGGCATCACCCTGCTCCCTCCCATAATTCAGATGGGATCACTGTCCTGCTACTTCTTGCCATATTTCTCACGCGCAACGCAGAGGTCGCGTCGAAAACCACGGCCTGTACGTGCCGATTCGTGGTCTTTTCAAACCAGTACGTGCAAATATGAAGCAACACTGAATGTGACGCTTAATGTACGTGCAAATATTGCAGGCACCTTCAGAGAGAATACGCTTGTAGATAACTAGGTTCATTAAACTATAAAGACAAACAAAATGAAATCTATACAAGCTTTACATTATGTTTATGATGATAAATAACAAGAAAACCCATATAATGCGGTCTTCTGGCATTAATCGTAAGCCAGCCATCATGGACATCAGGTTACTCACTGTAATTGCCATCATTTCACTCTTCCTCGCCGGTAAGTCATTTGTTTCATCTTATCGGCTTTTACAAGTTATTGAGTCCGTTGGCTTTACGACTGCATCAGTTTACACTAAATGGAAATGATCGATCCTTCTTACACAATTCCATGGGTCTCAGATGCTGCAACCAACTGATTTGTCCAACTAATATTTTCATGAATATTGTGCTCTTACTGGATGTCATGCCGTATGCTGTGATAAGTAACAACGTTCAGGAGGTTCCTGCTGTCTCCGTCTTCAGGACAGAAACGTACATATTTCTCATAAACACAGAGCGCCACATAATACGGCAAAACTTCATATACACGGCAGTAACGCCCTCAAACCTCACAATACTTTCATGAATAGAGTTACGTTTATGCGAGGCAGGATAAATCGACGCAGACAATATTCAGAAAATTCCGCTGCCACTCTTTGAAACCTCTGTACCCATGTACCCACGTTATGGTTCCCTCGTACTCCTGAGCTCCTGAGCTTGTCTGAACGTCGAAGAATGGGAACCTCCTAACGCTGTTGACATAGTGACGTACATTCTCCACTCGGGAGCCGGATAGCTCAGCATAGAGACTGTTACGAGCCGCACGACCGAGGAATCGGGGCCCGATTCCGACAGGGGCAAAGATTTATCTCTTCTCCATAACGACTAGGCCCGCTTCGGGGTCCACCCCGCCTCCTATCCAGTGGGTACTGGGGACTCTTCCCCCCCCCCAGGATAAAAGCGGCTGAGGCACGATTCTAGCAACTTATCCCATGCAGTGCCGAGGTTAAGAATATATGAAGATACATTTCCACTGCCCCATACGTCCTCATGGTACGGTACTTAATTAAGCACAGAAAAAATGTATTTTTACCTTTCTCAGCCCCAAAATAAATTATCCCACTTCTTCAACGTATTTTCCTTTTTTACCCTTCCTCTGCTATTTCTCCCTCCCTCTTATGTTCTGGCTCAAAGGGTTAAATGTGTTAGTTACATTTAATTTTGGTCAACATCCATTCTCCTTTACTTGCCAACTAACTTCAAGGAGCTGAGGCCTTCTTCAGGAGCTGTCAGTTGTGCAGGTATTCAATTCAATTCAATTCAAGAATTTCCCAACACTCTATGGATATCGTGGGCTCATTACCGTGTTCATAAGAACACTCCACTGGTCCCTATCCTGAGCCAGATGATTCCACTCCATATCACACCATCCTATCTCTCTAAGATCCATTTTAATATCATCCACCCACCTACGTCTTGGTCTTTTTAGCAGCATCTTTACTTGTGGCTTTCCCACCAATATCCTATATGCAGTCATCTTCGGTCCATTCGTGCTACATACCCTGCTCATCTCATCCGCCTTGACATGACCATTCCAATTAGACTTGGCGAAGAGTACAAGTTATGAAGCTCCTCATTATGCAGTTTTCTCCAACCTCCAGTCATTTTATCTCCCTTTGATCAAAATATTCTCCTCAGCACCCTGTTCTCAAACACCCTCAGTCTACATTCTTTCCTTATTGTCAGAGACCAAGTTTCAGACCCATACAGAAGCACGGGCAAAATTATAGTTTTGTGTTTTTAGACAGTAGATAAAAGCTTCTGGAGTGAATGGTAGCAAGCATTACCTGAATCCAGTCTCCTCTTAATTTCCTCCTGAATCATATTTTGATTTGTTACTGTCGTTCCAAATATTTGAACCGTGCCCCATTGTCAAAGAGTCTGACAGCTATCTTTATGTCAATTATGTTTGCTTTTAGGCCAACTTCCTTACTAGCATTAGTTAGAGATTCTGTGTTTGTCTCTATGGTAATTATGTTATCTCTCAATAGATTTACATCATCAGCATAATCCAGCAGCTGGTTGAAAAGCAATGGTGATATAGTATCTCCTTGTTTTGGACAATTTTGGATAGGAAAGTCATAAGACAAATGTTCACCTGTATAGATTTTACTATACATTTCATCTAAACACATTGTAATCGGCCTAACTAGTTTCATGAGTACCCAAAACTCTATCAGAATATTGTATAATAATTCCCTCTTAGCTGAATCATAGGCTTTCTTGAAGTCTATGAATATCTGATGTACTATCTCATTGTACTCCCACTTTTTCTCCAGTATCTGAATTGAAAAAATGTGATAAGTAGTTGACCTGTTATGTCGAAACCCACATTGATGATTGCCAATAATTTAATCCATAAATGGACTTAACTTTGAGAAAAGGATTTGGGCATAATTGTATGAGGTTGATAACAGTGGGAACCTACTATAGCTATTACAATTAGTTTTATCACCCGTCTTGTAAATTGGTAGAATAATAGAATCCTTCCACTGATTACGCAATTCTTACCTTTTTTTCCTTGGCACTACAGCCCCAGTGGGCCTAGGCCTACCTCCATGAACTTCTCCGTTCACTTCGGTTTTTCTAGATCTTACACATTCGGTAGGACTCCTTGGGTGGGTGATCAGCTCGTCACAAGGCCTCTACCTGTACACAAACACAGAAAAACGCACACACACAAACTAAACATCCATGCCCTGAGTGGGATTCGAACCCACGATCCTGGTTTCCAAGCGATCAAAGACAGTACATGTCTTAGACCGCTCAGCTACCGTGACTGGCAATTCTTACTTATTCCAAACAGAATTAATGAGCTTATGGATCTCAGAATGTAATATTTCACCTCCTGCTTGAACAGCCTGCTTATCTGTCAGCCTCATTCTCATGGATTTAATCAATCATAAAATATGTGGTGAGAAGTACAAATTATAAAGCTTCTCATCAAGCAATTTTCTCCAGCCTTATTTTACTTTACCCTGTCGAGTCCAATAAATTGCATGTTGACACAGCTTCTTAAAATAAACTGTCTGCTTAGAGGAGGTTCCTGCCAGGTTGCAGGTTGATTTCCTGGGCTTGGAGGCCTCGGAGGACTTGGAGGGGTCAGAAAAATAGTGCCTCAGACGCTTCTAAAGTAAATAGTTTAGCGGACAGGAATCTTAGTAATCTCAAACATGATAATCAGTAACTTCCAAGCATTTCCCATTCCAAAAATCCTGTGTTATGGTCACAAGGAGAGTAACATATCTGTACAGAAATTACTAGAAATGTGCTCAGGCCCTGTAGCAGAGATATGTTACAATAAAGATGCAACATGTCACACATTCTACTTAATTTGTGTACAATATTTTATTACTGTACTGTAGCTAAAATATTTTAAATATATATATTTAATTACCTGTGTAACTTTTCCTGATATCATACTCTACATACTTTTATTGAGATGGTTCTACTTGCTAATTATTGGTAGAAGTCCTTTTGGTATGTCTTCACTTCATGTCCTCTTGGCATTGTTCAACCATAACACATCCTTAATTTTGTCCATTAAGTGCATGGAACTGTTGCTGACACTTTCCTCTCCAAGGAAATTGGAACACATTCCTGCTTCTCTCACAAATGACCCAATAAGGTGTGTTCTCAATACTGCCTCCTATTTCATCTACTGGTAGTGGGTCTGGAACGGGGTCCACTCAGCCTCATGATGATAATTGAGGAGCTATTTCAAGTAAATAGTGGCTCTGGTCTAGAAAACCAAAATTAACGGCCTTGGGGATTCATTGTGTTGACCACGCGACACCTTCTATCGGCAAAAGTTGACACTAAACTTCGCCGACAAGCGGTGGTCCCTCGGTCAGTATGGTTTGCTTGCAGACTGAAATCATGGAGTTTCTTTTTTTTTTTTAATGCACATTACTTGTTATTGTTTAAATGAAGTAAAGTTGTCCATGTTCTTAATTATGCAGGACACCATGAAGGAGGACAGTATTAAAATGGATCTTCAAGAAATATGATGGGGTGGTATGACTGGAGTCAATTGATTCAGGATAGGGGTCAGTGGAGAACTCTTGTGAACATAGTACTAAAGCTTTTGGTTCCATGGACTGTTCAGAAATTGAGTACCTGCATGACTGGAGGCTTCTCAAGAAACACTCAACTCCAATGAGTTGATTAATTAGTTATATTTTATAAAAGTCATTCAAATGAAAAATACAAACATTCAATTTCACAAATAACAAGAAAACTATACATGTCAATTTTCAATGCAGCCCAATTACATTCAATCCACTTATTCTAGTGTCACACTAATACCTTGATTCTTCAAGAGAAGAAATTTTATGGCTGGTGTTGAAGACATTCATGCACCATCAACTTGATCTCTTCATTTGATTAAAAATGATGTCCTTTCTGTGTATTTTAGTGGTCAAGAAAGGTGATAGTCATAAGAGGCCAAGTCTGTTGAATGAATCAATATTCTGCTATAAAGTTGAGCAAGTTTTATTCCTCTTGCTTTAAACAACTTGATTACAGATTGCATGAGTGCAGGGGTCCTACCATGTTGAAAATTGGCTGTGTTCAAATAATGCCAGCACATAGTGCAATGCAGGCGTTTAGTTCTGACAACAAACTTCAATCAAATAATATGCATTTTATGTTGGTTCTGTGGATTTCATTTGAATGACCTTTGTATCTGGCAAGAGGAATGGTCAGGAACCCCTTTACAGAAGGGTATATACAACAGTTAGAGCAAATCTCAGTCATCCAACATTCAGAAGTTCATTTCCGTAAATACTGCTATACAGTCTTTATTTTCTGGACATATAATTTTTCTAAACACATTAATTTACTGGTACACATATATTTCTTAACTTAAAATTTGATATTTTACATACATCCACTATATTCTACATTTCCTATTGCAGAAAATTATGACCTGCTTATGAAATATATATTTACTCTTAGAGATACTCTTAATAATTACATTTATTTTATTTTACTTATAAAAATTCAAATAGGAACTTTGGTTTCATTGTGAGAGTATCTATTATACTCCCAAAATAGAGTTTTGTCACTTAAACAGCTGAGATTAGTGTGGAAAATCTGCCTCAGTGACAAAATTGTGACTTCAACTTCTTTGGCTACATACAATGTATAACATATTGGTGCAAATGACACTGCACATTATGACAAGTCTTTAATCAAAAAATATACTTCTTGTCTGTATCCCAACACTACACTGTCTTTTTTATCAACTGGTAGAACTGTTACATGGCAACAGGAAAGGTTGTATTCATTTGAAATTGAGTTAAACTTACCCAGGATAATGAAAACAGATTCTCTGTATGACTGACAACAGATACTGTTGTATACCAGGGTAAACAATTAAATCCATTTCTTAAATTCAAACTATCTTCTTATTCAAAAGTTGCCTTTCTTAATCCATATTCAGCTTATTCCGTTGGTAACGTGATATGATGTGACCTTTTAATTGTGCTGTGATGAATTTTATCACCATTAAAATAAACTACACTTTTTTGATAACATCCTGTTTCAAGAAGTAATGCCAAATTGCATGATAACAGGAAATTGTCTGCTATTCTAAAGACAATGACGTTTCAGAAGCTGGATATGTTTCCATCCTCAGGTGAAGGGGTGGGAGACATCTACTCTTTTTGGTCCCTTAGAAAGAGTTAACCCCAGACACTGGACTATAGCTTCTTCTAAGGGACCCAACAGAGTACGTGTCTCCTGCCCCCTCACCTGAGGATAAAAACTGATCCAGCTTCTGAAACGTCATGTTCCTGAGAATACTGCATCATAGACAAAGACCAAAAACTCAGTAATCCTAAATATATACCATCATCACAATGCTTTAGAATCTACAATTGGCAAGCTTCTAGATAAGGTGCCTCAAAAGTGTAAGTGCATCTGTGGCACTGAATGCAAACTCTTCAAATAATGGCAGACTGTGAAAAACATTAAACACAACTCCGTAAATCTAATATCTCAGCTTCTTCAAAGAGTAAAAAATAACCTCTAGAGTGTTTAGAACATCAGTGTTCACATTTCTTATGCTTGGAACCACTCGAAATACTTAAAGGAATATTTATCTGCCTCAACCCAAAAACCTAAAATAATTGTTACAATATATAACCCAATTTTCAATGTTCTCATAATATTGAGACATGATGATTGAAAGGCAAAATAGTGGAGCCAGAAGAGACGGCTGTTGATAGGGAAAGGCTTGATAAACACATTTCTGCAGCAATGAATACACATACAACAACAGAAGAACTGTGGGAAGCAGTGTGCCCCAAGTCTATATACTGGGAACCAAAACCAATAGTTAGTTAGTTCTGAGGAAGACAGATCAGCCTGAGTCTGAATTTGTGAGGCAGATGCCTCCTGGTGTAGGCATCGTCATGGAGGCAGAGGAGTCCCAATTGTTAGGAGCCGTTGCATAGCAACACCTAATGAAGACATAGAAGACTTAGCTCATGCCACACTGAACTATAAAGAATGTGTGTGAATTTGTCACAGAGCTAAGATGAATTATAATCACGAGTTATAAGAGTCAAATAAATCCAGTCATCAATAAAAAACCTTGTGTCTCGTCACTAAAACTGTGAGAAAATGAATAAGCAATTGTCACCTTCACATCTGTCACATGTACAAGATTATTCTACAGTGAATCAAAATAAAAATAATACACACAGATAACAATTTTCAACGGATATGCTGAAAAGTAAGAGTGGAGACCTGCGGCACCCTTGCCAAGCTGCTTCGGTATGCCTAGGGGTACTACATAGTATCAGTCTGAGAACCACTGATTTAGTTCTCTAACAGAGATACCGGAAAAGTTGCATTAAGAATAATGATTTTGCCTTTATACAGTTATTTTCTCTCAGCACACAAACCTCAATTTTATGGTTTCTTTGGGAAGCTGTCAATTTGTACAGCATGCTGGGATAATCTTAAATGGAGGATACCTAACATGGAGCATCTTCATTTGGAATCACTGTAACTGAATATTAAAGGGAGAAAACCTTAATCAACAAGCACACAATGGGGATTTGACTGTATTCTTTTGTGCAATTTCAAACCAATCAGGATATCTCAGGTAGTAATGTGAGAGGTTACAGAGAGTCAGTCAGAACTTGATTCTCAGTGGAGAAAGAGATTCTTTTCTTTGCCAGAACATTCAGACGAGTTCAGAGGCCTACCCAGCCTCCTATTCAGTGGATAACAGCTCATATCATTGGAGGTAAACTGATGAAGTTAATAATGGATAAATTCTTATAGCCATTAAAATTCTTCATCTTCATAGCACAATGATTAAATACAAGGATAAATTTATGTTTATTTGAAGATGTACCTTTATTCTAGAGCAGAATTTTATTAGCCTTACTTGGGGAATGAATGAGTTTTATTCCATACCTATTTCCTTGGATTCTCACTCGTCTTTCAAATGCTACAGCCACTCCTATCTTCATTCTTAAAATGTTATTAATTTGTCTACCATTCGGAGAAATTCCAGTCTGCAGCTACCTCTGTGCAATGAACCGTGACATGAAATAAATTTCCCTTCTGTCCTAAGAGTTACATCATACAGTGTCACAGATGATAACTGCTTCAGACTAATTGTAGTACTCATCTTACCTCTGGAAAAATTTGCTCATAAAGATATGCCATGTTCTGGACTCTTTCATACTATCAGTTCTTTGTACACTAGGCTACACCTTTGGACATCATGCGGACAGTGTTCTTGAGAGCCTGTCTCTTGTTGCAGAACCATATTCTTATCACCTCTCTCTCATAGCCAAGCTGGTGTGCCAGAGCTGTGATTTCTGTACCTAGAAAACATGCCACAACCAAGAAAATGTCAACAATAAAATATTATAAAAATTACCCCTAGATATGATATTATCACTAACATTCCTCATCCCTCTGATTGATGGTTTCTTGGGTTATTTAACAATTTCAGATCTTCTGTCATACCCAGTTAAACAATTCTAATGATCTTAAAATTAAACTAACAGCTAAAAGAGCTTTAACATTTCATAGCAGTAAAGATTTGAACTGTGGTCTTTTGAGTCTGGTAGGAGAGTACAAATATTTTGGAGCAACATACTGCATTCCATTTTCAGGCAACCCTGAAGAAGCAATATGTTTATCAAAACATTGGTAATCACCTATCAGACTATAACATGTTGTTATAGAAAAATCACAATATAGAATAAAATAAATTTAAACTGCACCTGAAGTTATGTCATCTTTAAACGGATTTACTTCAGGTGTGGAGTTCTTTGTTGGAATTAGTTTGACATTCTGAAAATTATGTCCAAGTTCACTGTCTGCCTAGACAATTTACTGATTTACTGACAAATTTACTGAGTGTCCACTAAAATAAATTGGGATACATCAGACAAAATCAGTTAGTTGTGGTGGCTTCAGTATCCTGTATGTTATTAAAATGTCATTAGGACCTTTGAGTCTCCTTACCTGAGGGATGCGTGTTCCGTTCAAAGTGTGCATTCAGCAGTTCCAGTGCCTGAGGTGTGAACGATGTCCTGCGTTTTCTCTTCTTGGATGGCTCAACACCAATGAATTCAGTGAGATGATTCTGTCCACTCTTATATCTGAAACACAACCAGCTTGTAATTTTATCAGATGCACTAAACCAAGACTATTGGTCGATCCTGTAACAATAAGGAGTGTGCAAACCTCCCACAAGATAGGGATAACTGGCTCAAATATTTTGAATATGGATCTGTGGGTTAACAGGAGATACATTTCTGGATAACAGAAAGTATTGGAACACCTTCTCTCTCCAGGGGACATAGATATGGAAGGAGGGTTATCTGAGTCCTTGAAGAGGCAGCCCCTCGACCAGTGTACCTATAATTAACACTAGTAGTCTGGCATGAGAAACTCATGTCTGAAGTAGTTGTAAATACCAGTTTTAAACTTGTGAATACTGAAATGAGCTTGCAGCACTCAGTTCCTGAGTTGTGTAGAGGAGGAGCAGGTGGTTAATTAAGTGAAGTACACATACTTGAAACCCATTCTTTGATATTTTGCATAAATAATTAAACACAATAAAATGTAAAAAAAAAAAAAAAGTAAAGCTGTCCTGTGGTTGGCTAATTATGCACTATGCCATGAAGGTGTATGGTGGAGTGGATGTATAGATCCATATTTTCTTGACCTTGGCAGTAGTTGTAGGTGAGTGGTCAGCTTCACAGCCCTGCCACTTTATCCCTGGGGAGAAAGCCCCCAGTACCCATTGAATAAGGAGCTGGATGGGCCCCAGAGTCAGTCTGGACACTGTTGAGAAGAAAAAATTATTGACCCTACTGGGACTCGAAATCTGATCTGACAGTTATCCAGCTTGTAGCCAGTCGATATACTGACTGCACTATCCTGGTTCCTAATTAATCATGATAATTTTAATTTAATTTCACTAAATTACAAAGGCTAAGTCTCAAATTATATTCCATATTTCCCACTTACATGTTCCTTCCCAGACCCCTAAAAAATCTGTATCCCCATCCCACATGGATGAAAACATTCATTCTGTGTAACTCTAGGGATTTTCTAGGTGCCCAGGAAGGATATATACCTGTACCTGTATGAATGGGAAGTTAAACCTACTTAACATATACATATGAAACCTAGGAACTTCTGTCTCAACCTGAGCAAGAGACATGAGAAAGCCTGTGCATATTATTTTACACTATTTATTTCAATGCTCAGAACATAATTTGTATTTTCTTTTATGATGTATTTTTAAACAAAATTTTAGGGACTGGTAATAATAATAATAATTTATTCTTATATTCAAGTAGATCCAATTACAGGGCGAGAAACAAGTTGTCACACCACTGGATATAGAATGCGTCAAAAATCAAAACAAATGTTCCAACCAATCACTGGAACAAGTCAAAATAACATAATATAAAACATAGACAACACAGTCACTAAACATAATAAAATGTGACTACAACAAGACTTAAATACTAGATGAAAACATATTAACCTTTTATCTTATAAAATTCATCCAGTTTATAAAAACAATGCATATGAATGGATATTCTCNAACAATAAGACATTGTATGTTAAAATAAATAAGTCATAGTTGGTATGTATGCAGATCTAAAATATATGATTATTTATATATTTTTAGTTAGTTAATAGGACTTGTTGAAGTTAATTTTAGATACTATTTATAAGAACCAAAATCAACCCTTGTTTTCCATTCATAATATTCTTTAAAAGAATAAAATGAACCAGCAAGAAGAAACTCTTTTAGAGCGTGTTTGAATTTAGTACAGTACACATAAGAAGTACTCACTACTACCTTGTTAGTGTACCTATGGAAGGAAATTTAAAAGCACAAAGTGAGGTGGGTCTCCAACAGAGTTGTGTTCACGTCAAGTTTCATGAAAGTTCAATGGCTTAAAAAGCTTTACTGTTTGGTAGACACACAGATTTCATAAACCTCTTTCCTTACAAAAAGTTCCTTGTTTCTGTCAAGAATCCAATGTTATGGAGGCCAGATCGGTGGATCAATACAGGCAAAGATCAATATTTAATTAAGATTTGAGGTTCTCATAGTTGTGAGTGCTAAGATCATGGTCTTTGGGGAAATGATGCAATGTAATTGGTAGACAGCCGCTGACATTTCAGAGGAACCTGCTGCCTCCATCTTTAGGAAAGATGAAACACTCTTCTATCCTGAAAATGAAGGCAGTAGGTTTCTCTGAAGATGATCTTAAAAGAGAACTGCTAGCCATTTCTGATTTTTTTTTTGGGGGGGGATGTCAATTTAAAAAAAAAAAAAAAAAGGAAAAAATGCCAAATGTTAAAGTCAAAAACTTAAAAGCACATTAAAAATATTTTCATGTTCTATAGTGATAGGTAAAAATAATTGAAAACAGCTTACATTTTAGCTTGTAAGCAAGCTATCTGGCTATGTCCCCCTAGAAAAACATTCTGGCAGCCCCATGCCTTTAAAATACTTCGGGGAGAGATGGCTAATTGGGAATGCAAATTTAAAGTTTATTATCCTTACCTCTCCTCAGCTTCTTTCATCCACATTTCCAGCACTGGTTTGATTTTCTGCGCACTCTTCGGTGTAATATCCAGCTTTTCAAACCTGAACACACAACAAAATATCCAAAGTAGGAAAAACATTCTATAAAAGATGCGCAAATGACAAATCCAGCCAATATATATATATTATTAGATGCTCATGATACATAATGGCTATATAATTAAAATTATCTGAAATTTCTTGATTTCTTTTTCTTCTAAAATCTAAATCTGCTTTTCCATCATTCTGTTTTCCAAAAAGAAAACCATCTTTGGAGATCAATAATTCTTTCCTCAAAAGACAATAAAATTGTGGCTGAACATTTCAACAACTTCTGAATTTTAACAGTTGCAGAATTAATATAGCTATTAATGAGAAACTGCACTCAAATTAACAAAAAAGTATTCCCAGTCACTGAACAACTTCTAGCATTTATTTTCTAATACATTAAAAAACAGTATCTATTTCAATCTCCTTTCACTTTAATGTTTGCTCAACAGCACAGTTATTGGGTAAACAGAATAACATTGGGCTCGAGTCAAATGATTCTAATGAACATATGACGTGAAATAAATCAACTTCCTTCTACTTTGTATCATTAGTCCTTAGATATGCATACAAGGGACAAGACCACTAGGCCCACCGAGGAAGAGATGGGAGGATAAGATTAAAATAGATCTTAAAAAATAAGATGAGGAAATCTGCATTGTTTAATGTGCATCTGTGACAGGAGCTTGTGAACACAGTAAAGAACACTGGATTTCATGTTCTTGTCACTGTGAATATGAAGAGTATGGTCTTCTGGTTTGTAATGCTGTACAGTTTAGAGATATCCTGACATTTTAGAGGACTCCATCTTCAGGGACCAAGAGTACACCGAGGAAGAAGCAAGTAGAAGTAGGCAGCAAGGTGAGGCCTCTCTGAACTGCACAGCATGACAACCCAGTGCTGTTCACAGTACAGAATATGCAGGATAAAAGAAACCGTCTGATATTAACTACAGCTGATGGAACTGTTATTACAGCTTACTGTGCATGTCACCACAACAATGTTATCCTGTTCCCAGATGATCATACTATAAGAAGTAAGAACAATACCTACTTGAGGTACCTACTCCAGCCAAATATTTCTTTATGTAGTTCAGATTAAAACCACATAAGCCCAAAGAGTATCTTTCAGACACAGATCAAGAGCTTCAACCCAGATTTGAAGGTTGTAACTATTTTGTGTTAATTCTTGTGATGACTCTGAAGTTTCATTTTGTTGCAGTACCCATCAATTCCCTTTCTTTTCTACAATAGCATAAAACATGAGTTTCCCTGTGTATAAGTTATGTAAGCTAGCTGAACTTTTCCTATGAGATGGTGGTATGGACTGGATTGACCTAGGTCAGTATAGGGACCAGTGGTGGGCTCTTGTGAACATGTTAATGAACCTTCGAGTTCCACAAAATGTTGGGAAATTCTTGAGTAGCTGCACAACTGATGGCTTCTCAAGAAGGGCTCAGCTCCATGGAGTTAGCTGACTGACTGAACTGTTCTTAGAAACTTCAGGGTTTGGCAACAAATATCCAATCTAATTACCTCCAACTTCACAGCCTGTCATTGTCAGAAATGTCCAGAATTTGGAACAGCAATCTTACTTCTAGTAATTAGTACAAAATACAGTTTTAAGTCCAAGATCTAGTTCTAAGTCTAAATGATTTCCTTTGGGCTTAATACATGCAATTTACATAAGTCATGCTCAAAAGGATTCCAAGCTTTCTTTTAAAAGAAACAACTACCATGCCTTAAACAATTCATACAGAAGGCAAAAATGAATTGCTAAAGTGGCTGTTCAAATATGGAAAAAACTAAAGCAATAATAAAACAAAGGAAAGTAGGTCCATTAATCCTTAGCACTTTCAAGGAGTTTATACTGTACAGATGAATAAAAAAATGTTAAAGTTTCATAAAAACACATATAACAACTGATGAAGTGTTCAAAGTAGCAGTGTTCTGTATATTCAATTCTGATATCAAAGGCCGCAGCAGGAGAGATGCTTTCAAAGTGCTAAGGATTAAACTTATTAAAACAGCATGCAGACAGATGGAACAGAGTTGCCAACCCATTTTATTCATTTTGTACTTACTGCTGCAAAATTTAGCATGACAATCTAAGTGAAATTTAATTTAATCATTCATTTTTCGGTTATATTTAAATTGAATGCTAACATTTACAGTTGGCAACACTGCATAAATTATTCATAATGCCAATGCCCTGGCTGACTTACTAACCAAACATAAAATTAATGAAACAGGAATTAGTATAAAAACTAAGGGAAGGGAGCTTGCATTTCTTTTCAAATTTCAAAACATATTAATTTAAATATAAGATATGGAGAGAGGATAGGAAATATGTATATTATTTTCTGTACTATAAAAAGATGAGAGAAACAATCCATCCATGAACCAGAGATACCACTCTTTATGACACATATCATGCAGATGGATTATTTTTAATTATGAGTAAATAAGGTGCCATAGAACTGAAGCTGAAAACTAGTTATGGTATGTTTTGGAAAAGAAGCTACCTTTCCTTAGTTAAAATACTGTACTGGTTACTTTCCTCCAGAACACTACTTAAATATACATTTTGTTGTTAGTTTCTGATATAGATTATTCTGTTTCCAAAATGAGTTAATTCCTTTGGTCTTACTCTCCACTGATTATTCTAAATTCAACAACAAACACAAATATTTTATAACACCGAAAAATAAATTTTTAAGAATGTTCCAGTTACAACTGTAAAAACTGTCACGCAAAAATTTAGATGAAGAAAGATCAGACCCAACCACAAATATTCTGAAATAACCCCAACAGAAGCAGTATCTGAGTCCATGTGGCATACAATCAAAAGCATAATTAAGTATTTAATTTAATAAGGGGACAGGATGTAAGGATGCCAAGTGCCAGAAGTTATAATAGGTGCAATTAAAGAAAGAAATAATGTTAGAGATATAAGGAGAAAGTAATAGAAAAATAAAAGAAATGAATATAACTGAGGCTGACTATGTAGCCTGTGATGTAACCATTTGATGACGTACATAGCTTGATGCTGTGACGCAAGCTGCGCAGCACAGTACATCTGAGTAGCCAGGGCACTGGGGAGAGATAACCACAAGCAAAACATTACTTCTTCCTTTCAATCAAACTTTTTCACATAAATACTACTGCTGACTCAAACTCACTGCCATGTTCTACACTTACAGGAACTTTTCGTGAAGTGCTGTGTTTCCACTTACTGGGGCATTATAATTTATCTACCCAGAATTGAGCATCTTCTAAAATTAAAATATAATATCCCCTGAACAAAAAATTATACCTCACTGTACCTGAATAGAGGGGATTTGTCTATGTCAGTATGAACACTGCAAGTTGGACAAGCTTTCATCTTTATTGTCTTCAACTGTAGCGTGTCTATCGTTTGAGATGTGATGTTCTCACAGTGGTGTCTATGAACATTACAGTAATCTCAGATGTGATGCCATGTTGACTGGTAGAACATTAACAACATTTTGGGGCAACCTGCTGCCTCCATTTTGAGGGCAGAACAGTGTAATGACCTACCACATTAATTGTGTCATATTCAATTTTCTACGACGAAGATGAAGGCAGTGGATCCATTCAAAACAGTGGCAACAATGTGCCAGAAGATTATGGCATCGCATACTAGAAGACAGTAATTTCCATTGTTTGTCATCTATGTGAAAATTCATACACATGAAGTTAATATATTTTTTTAAATGGTATACCACAGGATTTTTAAGGATAAATCATAAGAAATCCTAAATAAAAAAATCTGAAGAAGGAAAACGCATAGTTGGCACACCACTCACCTTTGGTGTGGCTGAAGATGAGCACATCTGACCAAATTGGCTCACCACAATCAGAAGATTCCTGAGTCAATCAACAAGACTGGGTACTCTGAAAGGTTTTATGCCGGTGTTCTTGGTTTCTTACATGAAACCTCCATACAATCTATAACCACTTCCCTTCCTACACATTTGATTTTCTTTTCCATAATTATCGCAGTCTCTTGGTATAGCATTAAATAACCAAGAGTAAACAGTGATGGAAGATCATCATTAGGAGCCAGGGCAGGCTGGTCCCACCATTAATAAAAACTATGTTGATTAAAATGCCAAATAAGTAATTAAAAATGTGAGATCTGAGGTCCTCTTCTATGATGTTGCAATGTGAAGTCTGGTACTGTTAGTTCCTCGTAACTCTAGCCGTGGTAGAGGGGTCATTCCATCTCTCGCGGAGCTGGGGTGGCAGTCTTATCAGCTTAGGTCAGCATGGGTACTACCAGTTTGGAATGTAGCGCCTTGGAGTGTGGTTAGGCGTATAGTACGTTGTGTTGCTTGTTAGTTGGTCTCCGTAGGCAATGCTTTGCGCTCGGGCAGTAGCTCTGAACGTCACCACAGCAAGTGTACAGCTTCGCGTGCTCCACAACAGCGCTTAACTTTCCCGCGGCTTATGTTATGAGGCACTAACTATACACATATACCAGTATTTCAGAGGAATCTGCTACCTCCATCTTCAGAGTTATACCCCCAAAATAAAGGCATGTACCCAACTACTTAGCAAATCCCACAAAGATCACAGCCTTGAAACAATTAACAAATTTGAAGGTTCATCACAATAGTCTTACTGTTGGACCTAATTCTAAGGCAGTCAAAATCAATCCATACACCCTCTGATCTATTTTAATACTTTCCTCACATCTAAACTTAGCTATCCCAAGTAGTTTCTTCTCTTAAAGATTTCTTACTGAGACTTCATGCATGTTTCTCATTTCTTCTGTAAGTTCTACGTGTCAAATTCATCTCAGCTTTCCTCATTTTAATCACCCAACAAAATCATATGGAGAGTAAGGTAAAAGATAAAGTTGTCCCTGTGCTTAACTGATTAAGCACTACGCTGTGAAGGCGTACTGGGGAGTGAATGTATAGATCTGAGTTTTCCTGACCTCAGCACTAGTTGGCAGTGAGTAGTCAGCTTCGCGCCCCGGCCTCTTTACCCCCAGGGAAAGAGCTCTTGGTACCCATTGGATAGGAGGTTGAGTGGACCCCAGAGTCAGTCTGAATGACATGAAGTGAAAATTCTTGACCCCACCAGGACTCGAACTCTGACCCCTCAGTTGTCCAGCCATTAGCTTGTCAGTATACCAACTGTGCTATCCTGGCTCACCAGGTGGAGAGCACAAGTTACAAATTCATCCTTATCTAGTCCTCCAGTCCTTTGTTATTTTATCCTCTACAGATCCAAGTACAGGTATTTCTCGATTTATGCTACATTTCTGCTGCATACAAAAGGCACAGATGGTGAACTCACATAAATAGAATATAATTTTCTCTTCTGTCCATCATTTCTCATCCAAAACCTGCACAGTACTCTATTCCTCCTCTTCCCCAACCTCTCTTGACTGGCCAACAATTCACATTAATATAAGTCCCATTAATTTAAACTGGCATAAATTAGCTGAAGACATCAAAATGAAATCACATTTTTTTTTAAATTCACATGTAACCAGGAGTATCTCTATCAGCACTCTGCTCTCAAATATCATTTCTTTTCCTTTCCAGAACAACTCTTTGTTCCAAACGTTCTCCTATCCAATGGGCACCAAATGTTCCTTCCTTGGGGTCACGTACACCTAATGTTGAGGTCTAGGAACACGAAGATTTCCACCTACATACCCTATATGTGATTCATAACAAAGTGTCTAGGCGTTAAATGTAATTTATCTTTTCCTAATTTCATAATTCAAAGCATATAAATAACATAGTGGAATAATATTTTGTTTTCTGCTACAATCACCTTATGCCCATACCACAAGTGCTATTTCTTTTTAAGAAGTTTGCAAATCAGACCGTTTTAGAACAATACTTGCTTAATGAACTTCATCTCTACATATGATACGAAGTGAGGCTTGTAAGAGGTCAGAGAATAATGACTGATTATTATGAATATACTACATTCACCAAGTTATTAAGACAATCTTGAATAAAGAACCAGTGGAAAATTTTGAGAAATCATATCTTCTCTTCTTTTTCGCTAACATCCTTTCCATTTAAACTCACTAAAGGACATAAATTATCTGCTCTTTTCTTTCTTCTGCAAGCTTTGCTTTTCAATTTCTTGCAGCTCTTGTTTCTTCTCTTGATGCCTTCCAGTACTTGGAGGAACTATCATTTCCTGGTCACCAAACAGGTCTCCTTCTGTTTATTTCTTTCCTTGTTCTACCTATTATTTTTATACTGCAAAAATAGTGAAGTAGCCTCCCTAACAAGTTCTGTCAACAAATTCTGAACTTCAATTCATTCTCTATAAAATCTCACATTCATTTCTTGTTTCTCTTTGTAAGTGGTCACACTTTAGCATTACATTTTAACATAAATTTAAAGAACACAGTAAAATATATGCAATATACGTACAATGCATTATATATCAAGATGAGCTAAGTAATTTAGTTGGTTTTTATTAGTCCTTTCACCATCAAATGCTAACCTCAACACTGCTGATGCTACATAAACAACATTCCCCTCAATAATTCTGATAGTCATTACCTTAAAAGTGAAGAAATATGAAGGAATCTAACCAAACATTATCATCAAGTTGGTAGCATTCAGCATTCCTACTCTATGTTCAAAGTCCAGTCTAGAGACTGTATTGTTACAGAGATATATTTCACTGTTCCCTCCAGTCCTCCAAGCCAACTACTTGATACCTAAAATTGGGCCATGACCACTTCCTTCCACATCCTTTCCAGTTCATCATTCACTGCCACTCTATTATTTGACATTATATAATCTGAGTTATGAACATAAATGTTCCATATGGACTACTGTGCTTACTATACATGGCTTGTTATACTTTTGTTTGCTGGTAACTGGCACTTTATTGTAGGATTTTAGAACTCATGGAACTCTTAAAACAAATAATGACAACTGCATACTAATATTCAGTACTAGTACCTGTACCATATACCATCTGGTATCACTACAAAGAATCACTGTGCATCTACAAACCAAGTGATATGCAGGAACTACAGTACATTCTGGAAGTTGCATATTATTTGGGCATAAGCACATCTGATATTATACTGTACAATTCTGCCTTGCAGCCAAGTGGTAGCATAGTTGGTTGAGGCACTATGCTACAAGCCAGGTCATGGGTTCAGTTCCTGATGAGCTCAGTGCAGTTTTCAATTGACCTAATCCTTCTAGCCTCCAATAGAAATGACTACCAAGAATCTTCATGGGGGTAAAAGGAGGCTGGCAAGTAAGACTGACAAACTCACCACCATCTGTGAGCCATTTGTCTAGAAAAATGTGAGCCTTGACATCTCACAATCCCATGGACCTCCATGGCCTGTTACCTTTTATATTTCTACCCTAAGCCTGAGACTAAAGCCAAACATGAAAGTTCTGGCATACATATTTTCTGAATAATGGGTTGCATATAAGAATACTATTTCAAAAGCCAGTGTTTTTCTTGTAGCATCATTCTATTTTTATGAGTTAACATAAAGGCAAAAGAAATATTCAATCATGTATGACATGTTGCATATTACAAAATGCACCTTCAAGGCAGAGCTCCTATGAAGTAACAGCTCCAAAACAAATAACTGGATAACTTCTGTGCTACTGCGGAAGTAACATTAATGAGAATCTAATAATTCTAATGGTTCATTTCCCTGAAGTCTTTGAATTGGTTATTTTTATTCATCTATAATACAAAATTAGGACCTAATTTTGAATAAAAATAAAGCTAAAGAAACTTAATCTTACAGGTGGGTAAATGTGGTATAACATATAAACATTCACAACTAACTGGGATCCAAGCTCACAATTATCACAACTGTAACATTTTTGAGTACATTTTTTTGTCGCTTTCCTTCAGATTTTTACAAGTGGTATTTGAATTGTAGACATACTATTTTTTCATTAGCTGCTCTGAAAGGCTTGACCAACTCACAATATTTTCACACAATAAGAAAACTGCATAAAATAGTTAACTTATATTTTGACATATAATCAAATATTTCAGGCAGTATCAATAATAATAAATTCTATCACAAATATATAATTGGATTTTGAATAATCAATGGTCTTTTTGTCAAAAACAAATAATGAGAATTGTTAGTTTGAAATTAAGTACTATTATAATTAGAATGTATTCTGAGTTACTTAACCCTTTGACTGCCAAAGCTCCACCACAAAACTACAGAAACACCACAGTTCCCTGGGGGTAAATTTAATTGCAAACAAAAACTGAAAAGCTTTCCTCAAATGACCTTCAAATGGGAACAGGTACAGGACATTTGAAAGCCTGCTCCTTACTCTAAATGCTGGTGTGCTACATTTGATGACACCTATTGACAGCAATATTATACAAATTGATTAACAACTAGCCGATCTCTTTGGCAGTGGCAGTTTTACTGCTAGTACACTGGGCTGATGGGAGTACGCTGTAGTGTAGTTGGTTGAGGGGCTATGCTACAAGCCGAAAGGTCGCGGGTTCAAGTCCCTATGAGGTCATTGGATTTCTTTAAACTGACCTAATCTTTCCAGCCGCATAGACCCTGGGGTTTACTCAGCCTCTAACAGAAATGAGTACCAGGAATTAATTAAATAATTTTTCTGGGGAGTAAAGCGCAGCCGGCGCATAAGGCTGACAACTTTACCGCCATGTTTGAGCTGATTGTCTAGATAATGTGGGACCCTCAACGTCTCACAACTCTATGGGCCTTCATGGCCTGTTACAGGGATAGCTTTACTTTTACACTGATCTGATATAATCAGCTTGTGGCATGCAAAGGGTTAAATATTTTGGTTATTGTTATTTGCTCTAACATTCACAACAAAACACACAGATACAGCACAGACATTTATGAAACAGTTCTAAAAGGATGCATGTAATTCAAAACATCATCACACACATGTGATGTTTTCACTTACTGGTGGTTCAGACATTAAGTCATGTTTATAATTAATCATTATATCATGTAACACATGGTAAAGGGCTATAAAACTGAGATAATGTCCTTTTTATGTTGAACATGCTGTAGTTTGGAAGAAGCCTTAGAGCCAATAGCTAGGGCGGAAGCAGCTTTTCAGAACCAGACAGATGCTCCAGATCAGTAGAAAAGCCCAGGGGAATATCAAGCATATATTACAAGTAAAAGGAAACTGTTACAATGCAGGTTTGTGAATTTGTTTCTTCCTATATGTATCATTGTTAGGAGTGGTAGTTATGATGCTTTAAGGCACTGGAAATAGTTTCCTCAAAATGAAGCACTCTGGAACTAAGCAGATGGCATCTACCCCTTTTTGAAGCTGCATTTATATGAAACACCTGTATTTCATTTCATTTCATTTATTTATTCACCTTCCATAAATCCTGTCAAGAGTACATTCTCATGCAGATGTGGAGATCATCCTAGTTATTTTGTATCTATTATGTGACAATGCCAAGAATATATTTTCTACAAATTTATAGAATATCCAGGTCACTGCTCAGGTGTGCTTAAAATCTGTTCTGAATTAAGTTACAATAAAATCTTTCATATTTAGACTTTGATAGTCCATATATTTCTTAAAATCTTTAACTCTGCTTTTCCTTCAAACATCAATTGCCTTGGACGAATGGTGACAAGGAAACATGTTATCTCCAGTGAGATCTGTGGTTCTCACAGCAGTAAATATGAAGACTCTTGCCATCTTGGGTGTGATGCCATGTAGTCTGGTAAATTACCACTAATGTTTCAGAAAAATAAACTGCCTCCATCTCTGGGGTAGAAGAGGCAGCAGGTACCTCACAAACAGTGGTATCCTTCTAAGAGACTATGCCATGTCACATCGCAGAAGACAATGATCTTCATATTACCTTGAGCTAAAGATTAATATTAAAAGTAAAGCTATCCCTGTAACAGGCCGTGAAGGTCTATAAGGTTGTGAGACGTTGAGGGTCCCACATTATCTAGACCATTGGCTCAAAGATGGCGGTAAGGTTGTCAGCCTTAAGCGCCGGCCGTGCTTTACTCCCCAGGAAAATTATTTAATTAATTCCTGGTACTCATTTCTGTTAGAGGCTGAGTCGACCCCAGGGCCATAGTGCAGCTGGAAGAATTAGGTAAATTGAAAAAATCCAATGACCTCATCGGGACTTGAACCCGCGACCTTCCTGCTTGTAGCATAGTGCCTTAACCAACTACGCTACTGCGTGCCCTAAAGATGAATATTAGCATATAACATACATTTTTCAGGCTTAATTATCATATGCTCATTGTCTGATTACACCAGATTTTCACCTAGTCTGAACAACCCTTTCTGGGCTAGCAATATTTTACTGCTTCTAAAACATGACAGATTTTGAAACAGTTAATATTGTTTTGTGATTTCAGGACAATGCAAATACTAGTAATATCAGAATAAGATACTTTATGAGATTAATTCATAAACTGAATCATGATATAAGATAAACTATGTCCACATTATTAAATTAAAATCCATGCATATCCCTAATCTTGTATGCATTATGCAAACATGTTGTATTAATTAGAACTGTAATTCTATCAGAAGTTCTACAAAGATGGAAACAGAATTATGTTTGTGGCAAAAATGGTTCATCCTTATAGGACCTGATGATGACAGATCTTTGTATGATCTATGTTCGATATAATTAAGCAGACCAGAGACGGATATTACCAAAATGAGTCTCTTTTAACACATATAAAACTATGTAAGATATTGGGAACTTCTTGAAAATAAAAACGTTTAAAATTAACAGTAATTGGTTTTCAAAGTCGCTGTTCCTCACACTGAAATTAAATTCCACCTAACAGTTCCAGGTACCACAATTCCGAATTTTCAATAAGTTTGGGCTTAGACATTAAAAACCAATGTGTGTTCTGAGGTTCTCATGGTAGTAGCTATTATGATTAGGGTCTTCTGAGCTGTGATGCCATGTACATTTGTAAATAAGCGTAACATTTTGGATGAATCGGTTTCCTCCATCTTTAGGGTAAAAGAGGTGTAGTTTAGAGGCACTTCCTGTTTGCACCTTTAGGGCGAAAGCTACTGTATGTATGCCCTAATGTTGGTACCTATCTACTGAATTCAATGGCATCATATCCCAAAGGACTATAACTGTTTGTGTATAATGTTGTAAACAATCAAATACAGCATAAACTGTGCCTTTACCTGCAGATGGCACTCTGACTGTAGGCAGGTCCCTCTGTGATGCTCAGAGCCTGTCCAACTTGTGTCTGGGTCAAACCCAGGGAGAGTCGTCGAAGTTTGAAAGCTTTTGCAAATTCCTTGATCTCATCCAGATTAATTCCATCGACAACATTACTGTTGGTCTGGTTGATGGTTGGCTGATCTGTGCACAGAAATCATAGCAAATGTTATCTCTGGAGTGCTAATGCCTTCCAGTCAGCATAATGAACATCACAACCTCGACACCCATCCATCCTTCCTTCTGTACTTTGTGTGAAACAGCATACCTATATCCCCTAATGTCTTGTAACAGACAGTACAAAGTATTTATGGATCACCTGTTCACTGGCATGTTGGTCTGGTCTCTGACCCTTGTTTCTCACATTAAAATCTCTCCTATGCATTGTGAGTCCAACATTTTCACCAATTATATAGTATATTAACAATTAACCATGTTAAAGAAGGGGGAGAGAGATGTGAATAAATGAAACTATAGGAAATTCAAGATATTTCATAGATATTTGGAAACTATACACAATGTCTGATTTCTTTAACTGTCTCAAACACTCTATGACTTTGTGGTAAGGGCACTGAATTTGAGGTTCTCACAGCAGCTCCTATGATGAGAAATCTCTTTTTGGCTGCAACATCATGTAGTTTGGTAGAAGTCACTGAAATTTCAGAGGAAAGCACAGCCTCTACCTTCAGGGTCATAAAAGGAGCTAAGGAAGAAGCCAGCAAGAAATAGGTTCCACATTCTCTTCTATTGTTTCTCAGATAATAACCATCAAATATTATATTGAACATCTCAAATGCATTTACATAATATTTAAGAATTCAGTTCCTGCTTCAAAGAAAATAAACTGCATCTCCACTACAAAGACCAAGTGGATAATGCTGTTTAGGAAATTAATCATCGTTTATTCAAAGAATCATACATAATGTATCAATACAATCTGTTGACTAACTGCAGAAGAGATTTTTAAAGTAAGAACAAGCAATATACACAGTTACCATTATATTTAAAGAGTTAAAGAATGTACAAGAGTTCAACACTTTCATTTATAATGTGCTAGACATTTTGTTGTACCTGACTATTGCTATTATCCTTATCTGTAGTGTCCAAAGTCCAGCATCCATTAACTTACTTGGGGAATCAGCCAGGAAATCTGAAGTGGGACTACTGCGGCTGTGCTGAGTGCCTCCTCCCCCACCACTCCCATTACTTGAGGAATGCTGTAGAGATGTGGACGATGAGGATGAAGACGAAGACTTGGGATGTTGCTGCTGTGGTGACCCGTGTGTTGATGTGATTGTGATATCAGAATTACTGGCTGCTAATCGGTTGATGACATTCAGAGATGATTCTGTTCCATTCAGCAAACCATTCTGATGATGTTTCTCTGGCACCTGATGAAATATTACTCAGTTTGAATCCAAGCAACCAACTCATATCTTTAAGAGCAGTGCTTCTTGAGAAGTTAATAGCTGCTCAACCAGTCCAGAAATTCTATGCCTTTATAAAATCAAAAGGTCCATTACATCATGCTCTCAAGGAAATTCCACTGGACCCTGTACTGAATCAGATGAAAGGGCCACGTCATGGCTCAAGCGGTCAGTCGCTGGCTTCCCACCGCGGCGGCCCAGGTTAGATCCCAGGTCTGGTCAAGTGGGATTTGTGGTGGACAAAGTGGCGCTGGGGCAGGTTTTCTCTAAGTACTTCGGTTTCCCCTGCCAATCTTCATTCCACCAATTGCTCCACAATCACCCTCACCTATCATCTGGGGCTGGTACAATAGGCCAAAAGTGGCCGCAGTACAAGGGACTTACTCCCACCCCACTAGCAATAAAGAAAAAAAAAAAAGAATCAGACGAATCCTAGCTCATATCACCATACTCCATGTTTTTAGGTCCATTTTAATATCGTTCATCTATGTCTAATTTTCCTTTCTTGTTCTCTAACAGATTTCTTTCCATATATACTGCACGTACCACCTATCCAATATCACACTTCAATCACTGTGGCAATATTAGATGAACAGGACAAACTATGAAGCTTGCAATTATGCGATTCCCATTAGTCTTTTATCGCTACATCTCTCTTAAGCAAAAAAGCTTCTTCATTCTTTATTTATTCATATGAGTTGGATTTTTTCAATTCCGTAACCTTCTAGCTGCACTATGGCCCTGGGGTTTAACAGAAATGAGTACCAGGAACATTCTTGGAGGTAAACGGTGGCCGGCGCATAAGGCTGACAACCTTACCGCCATCTATGAGGCGATTGTCTAGAAAATGTGGGAGCCTCAACATCTCACAACCCTATGGGCCCCCATGGCCTGTTACAGGGATACCTTTACTTTTTTACTTTTCTTTTCATTTAGTGACATCATCAGCAAACATGGGTGCCACAAGGGAATTTTTTAAGATAGGCAGCCAAGGAATTTGCTTACAGTCTTATGGTTTAATCCATGTCAGATTATTTTAGCTAATTTCCCTAGAGTATTCAGGATAGATGAATACATTAAAAATAATTCAAATTCTCGGTAGTCATATTTGGTACATTTTCTTCTTTTCGACAATTATGATCTCATTCCAAATAATCTGGGGTGGGGTGGGGGGCAAATGCCTGTCACCTTCCACCCATTTCAGTAGCTCATACTATATTACAGCATTGACTGACGGTACAATTAGTGAATAGTAAATTTGAAAGTGTTGAAGAGGGTGGCTGTGGCTTAATTTAGTGTACTATCCCAGCATTTACATCAAGGGAGTGAGGAAAACCATGATCATCTCACTCAAGACAGCTGGTCTCTGCAACAAGACTCAAACTTGGGTCTTTCCATGTACAAAGTGGGAGTGCTACCCACATGTCTGTCTTCACACTTTGTTTGCCAAAATTCAATATATGACATTCCATCAGAGTGAATGACAACGTTTAACACCCATATATATTCATATATATATAAAGAAAAGGGACCACTGCACTAGACAAGAGAAAGAGGACTCTTGATTTATTGTAATATTCTTAAAATTCCCTTGATGAACTCATAAGGTTGGCTTGCATTTCGATTTACATATTGTAACTAATTTGTTTATTTATCTGGTTTGATAGTGTGTGTTATATTTTAATTATAGGTTAACCATGTAAAGCGTGATTGTATATTGTTGACAAATTCTAATCCTTTAAGCATTTGGGCAAAAGAATTTCAAGAATGATGTATTTAATGATATGATTTGTTTGAGTGTTACTTTTGTAGCAATTATGAATGCCAAATAAAGATAAAATGAAATGGAACTCAGAATTACTGGGTTTTTTTACTTTGTCCATCACCTGGTATTCTAAATAACAAATGTTTCAGAAACAGATCCAGTTTCTAAACATACCTACTCAAACTGGGGAACAACAAAGAATAGAGTTCCCCAGGGGTAAATTTTAGGACATTTGTTTTCATAATGTATATAAATGACCTGCCTCCTACATTAAACGCCTCATCAATACCAATAATACAGTGCGTACAATCAAGTGCGCGCANTCCCTGAATCTAGATACAACAAATGTAATAAAATTTATAAGAAAAAACTGAACACAATATCCATTAAACATTGGATATAATGGTAAATATATAGAAGTGGCAGTAAATACAAAGTTCTTTGGCTTACAAATTTATATTCATTTAAACTGGAAAAACTATATTGATCAGTTGGTTCCAGAGCTAAGCAGAGCAGTTAGATATATGCTACATATCAGCAACATTGACACTCCCAATTAATTTCGCTTACTTTTACTCCTTAATAAAGTAGGGAATAATTTTCTGGGGCAATTCATCTGACAGCAAAAAGGTATTTACTTTGCAAAAGAAAACTGTCAGAATCATGATGGATGTCAAATCCCATAATTCCTGTAGAGATCTACTTAACAGGCTAGACATCTTAACTCTTCCATGTGAATAGATATCTTAATTACTAAACTTCATTACAAATAAAGAGGAACACGTTCAGACCAATGAAGAGGTACACAGTATTAACACAAGACACAAACACTATCTTCATAAACCAATTAATAACCTGTCATGCTTTCAGAAAAGAGCATATTATGCTGTGACAAAAATTTTCAATAATCTGCCATTTGATCTCAAAAGTCTAATGAATGAAAAAGTAAGATTTAAAATAGCATTAAAAGATAATTAAACACATTCATTTTACTGTTGATGACTCATCTGTTTAAAAGTTATGTAAATGGCATATCTTGACATATTGATATATATACGTGGATGTAGTTACTATAGGATTCTGACGATGGAGTATAACACACTGATATGTTGGGTTTTTGGACTTTATCCATCGTCCTGGTTTTTAAGATAACAAATAAAAACACGACGTTTCGGAAACTGGATCTGTTTCCGTCCTCAGGTGAAGGAAAACACCTATTCAGTTGGGTCCCTTAGAAAGAGCTAGCCTCAATCACTGGTCCACTGATTGAGGCTAGCTCTTTCTAAGGGACCCAACTGAATAGGTGTTTTCCTTCACCTGAGGACGGAAACAGATCCAGTTTCCGAAACGTCGTGTTTTTATTTGTTATCTTAAAAACCAGGACGATGGATAAAGTCCAAAAACCCAACATATCAATACATGGATGTATTTTTGAATAGCCTTATGCATACCGACTGTCTTTTCTTGGGGTTTCTTATGTGAAAACGTCAGTTGTACTGTATATGTCTTTGTATTTATGTGACATATTCCACAAGCCACAGCCATTCTGACTAACTTTGAATGAAGGGAATGCAATTTAGTGTAATACTGTGTTCTTTAGAACAATGGATGATGGGCAAAGTCCAAAAACCCAACAATTCTTAGTGTCAAAATCCTTTAGAACCAAGAATGTGGACGGTTACCGAGTAGTGATGGTTGTGCTGTTGGTGGTGAGATAGCCTCTGAGTTGGCTGGTGGCTGGGTGCTGAGTTGGGTTGAGCTGTGGCTGCCACCAAGGATGACTGTGGAGTAACAAGCTGAGGCTGTTGCATTGCAGACAGCAGCTGTTGGTGCTGCTGAACAGCCGATGTGCTTCCGTTTGTCAGCAGGTGAGGTAGGGAGGCTGTTGCAGCTTGATTCAGGTTGATACCAGGTCCCAGTGTGGGGCCTGGGGATGGCACTGCAGCAACAAAACAGAAAGTACATGAGTCTTCTGACTTCCTTCATGTTTTCAGGAAGGAGTTCACATCTAATATTGTTACCACTATTATTGCTTTTATTTTATTTTATTTTTGTACAGTGTACAGGCCCATCCTATCCAATCAGTGCCAAGGTATATTTCCCTGGGGGTGTATAGTGGCTGTGGCATGAAGGCAATCACTGACCTGCATCTAGCACACAGAATATTTTATTTCCTGCGAATATTAAAAATATTGTCATGTGTAGGGGGGTACACATGACAAAAATAACGGGTTCTAGATCAGATGATTGGATTCACTGGCACTTTGATTACAAGTTCTCTTAATTACACTCAATTATAATGCCATCATTATTCTACACATTTTCAGTTCACTGTTGCACATGCACTAAGATTCTCCATCTTCATTAGTCGTCTCCTGGCAACAGATCTTAACGCAGAAACCAGCATTTCAAATTACTATGAAGTCTTCCCGTCAGTTCGTCTTCAATCACCCTGTCCTTCTCTGACCTAATCTGAACTCTCAACTACTCCTAGCTTCTACTGCCCCTAGTTATTCTGGGAATACCGTTATATAGACGCGGAACGGACCACATAGAAAACACGGTTCTACCACTGCATGGCGCAAACCATACAGAAAACACAATTCACATGATCACTATCCAGCTTTTTCAGTGGTGCGCTCACTGATGCCTAGCCACGAGCTATAATATTCATCCAATGAGACAGTTTCAATTGTTGCACATTGGGAAGTGTTTACTGAGCCTATAGGGTTGCATAATCCTGTTGTTCTATTGTTGCATGAATTTCTTAGCAATGGTTGTTTCTGCGGCTCAGCAGTTCTTGCATGGGGTAAATACGCCACAATATTCTAAAATATTTCACTAGTATGTTAAATGTTTAGCAAAACTAATGACTTGGATATATATAAAATGCTACAGGTCTGTGAGGATGAAACACTGCATTGAGATGAGCTCCTTAGGGATGTTCAGAAAAAGTGAAGTTAGAATCAAAAGATTTTAGGCATGATGGAAACTTTGGTATGTGTATCATAAGAAGAATACTTTAAGGTGGCCCGCTACTAGCGAGTTATGATCTCACAGCATTGAATGATCAATGATAAAATAAAGGTTCTTAAAGAATCAGCCTAATTACTCAGTTGTACATTTATGTGTAGACAACCCTCAGAGTATTAATGAACTCTCAGCTAACTTCATCTCTGAGACTGCTCTGTTCAAAAAGTCCATACATATCTCAGACACACTTTGAAGTTGGCGCTTAAGTTATACTAGTATTTTGTCTTCTCATAAACATATGGTAGCTTCATGCTCCTCTGTTTCTTTCTTTCACAAACGAATGTATTTTACTTACTGATATACACTTAAGAAGACTTAAAAATAAAATCACACTGAACCAGCAGGGACTTGTTGCCATTTAAATGTTGCTGTAAAGGCAGGCAGGGTCCCATTTAAAGAAGTTTTCAAGGTCTTAAATACACCTCAATCGATGATAATGTAAAAAATAACTGTGTCTTAAGATGGTTACCTGTACTGGCAGCAACAGCTGCTGCTGCAGCAGCGGCTGCCGATGCTGGGGCTAGGAGGTGATGTGGCTGCGCTAACGTTTGCAAGTTGGCAAGTGTGGTTGTTACCACTTGTCCATTGCTTAGCGCAAGATTCACCATCTGCCCACTAGTCACGTGGTTGACTGGAATTGTAAGGATGGTTTGTGTTGCAATTCCTGCAATACGTAAATGTGGAATTAATAGACGGGCATCATACAAAAACAGAAGAGAAAAAGTTATGAGTATCTCTATTTCAGTTTCACTTCTATCATTCAGAACAGTGAACAAGACAGTCTTGTGGTGTATGGATTACATATAAAAGTAATCCCTGTATGTGAAATTATGGTGAATACAGATTAAGAGTACAGTTTCACAGGGAACGGTGCATGTATCTGGTAGACAGGTACCAACATTAAGAAAGGATAGAAATATATGGTGAAGACATGGACAAAGTCACCTCACGTACAGTATTATCATTCATTTATTATATACATTTGCTACATGTTTCAAGCCAGCTAGATCATCAGGCAGTTTTTCATGAAATGTACTATTTGTTACTGAATTGTATTTCCATGTGTTCCTAATGTGGATCCATATCAGTAATCATTAAAATTATTTTTTTTAAAACACCTGTGTATTGTTATAGTCTGGATATTAGTCTTAAAATGTAAGAAGTTACAACTCGGCTGAAAGTTAAGAGTTCAGATTAAAAGAAGTATTGTGCTTCTGGACATTAACGATCATTCTGTCTTGATCTAAAACCCCGTCTTATTTATTTTTTCAAAACACAACGTTTTGGAGACTGGATTCTTTCTCTGTCATTCATAGTTTGTCAACTGGGTGAAGATCATATGTCAAAATCAGAAGGATTTCAACAACGAAATAAGAAACATACGACAAGATCTGATGCTCAGTTAATATCTAAAAGAATTCATTGACTTGATAATGAAGTCACTGACAAGAAGTCGTCCTTCAGAAACAGTATGCCAGGACCTTTCAAGAAATTCAGGTGCATCATGAACCATTTCAATCTCAGAACCATTTTCAAGATTAAACATACACTCTGTGGGACACTGATGAAAACTGAACCAATTAGAGATGGCCAGCAGATGAAGCAGTGTGTGTACAGCATCCAAGGTGACTGTGGCAGGTGTCACATCAGTGAAAAACACAGACATTTAGAAGTATGCATTAAGGAGCACAAATATAACCTGACTCAAAGGATGCTTGAAAAATCAAAATTAGCCCCACATGGGTATGAAGAAGGGCACAAAATGTGTTGGAATGAAGCAAAGCTGAACCAAACACCACATACAGGAAATACTACGAATCCAACCAGAAGTCTCCTAGACCATGCAATCAGTGAAACCAGCTTTGACATCCCTCCCATCTGGACACCCCTTATCACAGCAGAAGTCATGAAACTACAACTCCATCGAATGTGGACTGAGTGGGAAATTTGTTTTTCTTGCATCTGTACAATAAGGAGTATCTTTTCTCTCCAGTGATGATTTCTATCCTGATAGTTCTCTGACGCAAGGCCTCATACATCTACATTTTTGATAATTTTATGCTTTCTTAGCTCTTGCAGATGGTTTGTGCTGGGCTTGGTTTGTATACTCCATCTTGGTGCTGATGCAGTTGTCAGGAGAGAGGGACTAGCTCTATTGTTTGGGCCCAACTGAGTAGGTTTTACCTGAAGACAGACAGAATCCAGTATCCAAAACGTTGTGTTCTGAAAAAATAAACAGACGGTGTTTTTAGATCAAGACAGGATGATGGATAATGTCCAGAAACACAATATTTCTACTAACGTACCATCACCAGAAACTTTCACATCTTATTTAAAACTAAAAGTTAAAAAAATAAAAAATCTGTCTATATTTAGCGTGGAGTACAAGTCTATGATGTTGTATCATAGAGCAGATGGATTTTCTGGGAATCTGTTTCCTGATGATGGTCCCTGGAAGCAGATGGATAGTCTGGTTAAGTGCAGTGATGCACTAAGGTAAGGTGTGCGGCATGGTGCCAAGGCCTCTGTGGCACTGAGGGAATGTGTAGGGACTGGTACACTTGGGATACAAGGCAACCTCCCATTGTGTCTAGCCTTTCCCTCACATGTGGGTCTCTATGGGAAGATGACATTAAATTTCCCTAACTACAGTTCTAGGCTGCTGTAGTGGTCCATGAAGAGTTTCAACAACTGCTCTAATAGGAACCAAGCAAGACATATTCAGGAACACTCTAAAGAGGCCCCTAGATCTCCTTGCCAGGGCTTCTCTGCATGATTCAGCCACTGGGTTCTCTGATGCTGTTAGAACCTTCGGAAAAACTGTCTAGGGACATGCTGGTCTCAGACAGGGAACACTGTAGGCTGGTAACAGGGTTGCTCAGATAGCACCTACATGTTATGGGCCTCTTAGAAAGTGACACATGCAGGAAATGTGGACAGGGGGAAGAGTCCTCCTGCTATGTACTTTATGAATGCTCAGTTCTGGCTAGGCATAGGACACAGATCTTCAGTTCTGCTTGGTCAGAGCTGAGAGATATTAGCAAGGCCTTGATCAAAATGTTTCTAACGCTAGTAAGGATCCTAGTACGCTAGTAAGGATCCTAGTACAATGAGAGATACAAATGGACTTAACAACGGTCTGAGTGTGTGTGGTGAATGTAAGTTTTGTTCTCCAGGATAATACAATACAATACACCAAAGATGGTGAAAACATCTATCTACCAGGTTACAATGTGTCACATCTCAAAAGACTATACACATAATTTCAGGTATATCATAAATTGCACAATAATTATATTCCTAGAAAATGTTGCATAGTGTGAAAATATGTACAGCTGACCCTCAATACAAAGCAAGAGTTACGAGACAGCTTCAGTACCCACAGTATAAGCTACCTGTGTTATAAATTAAAATAACATTTATCTAATTTTAAAGTCCCTGTTATGTATACAGTATTTATGCAGTGACTAATATATATGTGCATTTCATGCTATGATTGAGCAGGTGAAAGGGATGGTCACTACATTTTTGTGTCTGAACAACATATTCCCAAATATGACTTCATATTCTCACAGCAGTGGTTATCTGTTTTCTGATATATAAAATTTCATGTAGTCTGCTGAAAGTCAACCAGTATGTCACCTCCCCCTTTAGGGCAGAAGAACAAGCCAAGCAAGAAACCAGCATGAAGCAGGTAGCAAGCTTATTCCTCGACCCTGAAGATGGAGGTGACATGTTCCTCCAAAATGTTGGTTGAATTTCAGCAGACTTCAGAGAATTACATCCCACAATATAGAACTCTTAAAGATTAAGAATGTGTGGATCTGTATTCCATTCCTCGACACACCTCTATGGCAAAATGCTTTAGCCATACAGACAAGTTATTACCCTTCTCAGAAACTCTCAATAGATGTGGTTCCAGAATAAAAAGAAAAAAAAAATGCTATGAAATCAACATACGAGTACATTAACATAATAAGGGAAAATATTTGGATTGGATAAAATGTTCCATTACACCTGTAGGAATATTATTATTTGAATATGCATTTTCTTCAATGAATAATACCCAAAGAAAATACTCTCATTGACAAAACCTATTCATAACCAGAAAGTTATTTTACTTTGAATGTTGTCATTTAAAAATAGTATTTCTATGATTACAGTCAGAGCTGGTTATTCAGTCAGTACAGTGATTAGGCTACAGTCTTGAAGATAATGTTTGAATCTCAGTGGCAAAGGAGATATTCATCTTTTCCACTGCATCCAGACTGCCACAGCGGCCCAGCCAGCCAGCCAGCCAGCCTCCTATGTAATGAGTACCACGGGCTCTTTCCTCAAAAGTACAGTGACCTGAGTGTGATATGAAGCACCCCCATCCACCTAGCACTGGAGATCAAGAAGATCTGCAGCTAAACATCCATTGATGGATTGCAGTGCATATCCTGTATAAATTTTACAATTCTAATCACCACTATATCCCACCTGCTTAAATGAGGGCTGTTCACTTCACTTATGGCTTATTTTTTAATTTTAAAACAAGAGACATTTCTAAACTCTCAATCACCTTTACCCACGACCTTGTCAGAAGAACTATATCCTCCCCTGCTCAAACGGGGGCCGTCCCATTTCACTGATGTTTTATTTTTTAATGTTAAAACAAAACAAATTTCTAAATGCTCACTCATTTTTTCCCAAAACATTGTTAGAGGAATGGAATGATATGAACCATACCTTGCGAAGTGGGAATGAGAAGTTGAGCTCCCTGGATACCTTGCACTAATTGACCAGAAGCCAGAATGAACTGGGGCATGGCAGCTGGTTGTGGGGCAGCAAGAAGCTGGGGCAAGGCAGTTGTGGGTTGTGCTGCTGCTGATGTGAGAAGATTTCCCACTGAATGCGCAGGAGACCCACTTGCACAACTTGTTGGGAGCGAGCCTAATGGAAACAAAATTTACTGCATGTTAACCTCAGGAGCCTAAAATTCAGCTACACATGTTCGACTTGCAGTTCTCACAGCACTGAAAATGAAGAGTATGATCTTCTGGGATGTAATACACATATCATGAAGTGTGGTGCTAGTATAATGATTTTTGGAGGAACATACTGCTTTCACCTTCTTGGCCCAAGACTAAGCCATTCAAGAAACCAAATTCCACCTGCTTCTTTCTGGTTTCTTTCATGAAGATGATCATGATCCTGAAGATGGAGATAGTATGTTCCTATATGACTACATGGTACTACATCCCAGAAGACTGTACTCTTCATCTAAAAATATTTAAATATTCAGCTTCTACCTCAAAGAAAATACACTGTCTCTCCAAAATTTGTTTAATGAAATATGCACTGTCTATTATGACAATTTTTATAGGCCATTCCATAGTTCAGGTGGTAAGTTACTGACTTCTCTCTATACTGGTACAGGTGCTGGTGCCTTTTTGTGAGATTCACAGTGGACAAAGTGACACTGGGGCAGGTTTTTCTCCCAGTTGCTTTTGCTTTTCCTTGCTAACCATCACTCTATCATTGCCCCCTGAAACGTGCAATAGCCCAGTCCAGGCAGCACATTATCACGACCTCACCAGCATTTGAGTGGTTATGGAGTAAGGATGAAGTTCTTTAATTTACATTCTGATATAAAACCCATAAATATATTCTGCAGGCAAAATGTAGAGAATCAGATGGTGCATACAGTAGGTACCATCTGTAAAGGGTTAATTAAGCATTTAGAACTGTGGGCAGATACATCTGTGTTCTTCAAAATTATGGTTTGAATTCTGTAGGATAGCAAATGCTATAATGATATTCTTACATAAAAATTCCTGGAAGAACTTATCATACCTACTTCGCTCAAAATTCTTCAATCAATATTGTGAGCCTAACAGAATTATAAACTAACACTTATATAATTAATGCACCACTTATCTGAACCGCTTCCACTAGTACATATTCCAACTGCAATAAAACTGTCAGACATAACCTCCAAATTCTGAACAACCACAACATTTGTAAGTGTAATATTAATACATTACAACTACTATAAATGAAGTTCTATATACAAATATAAACCAAGAACTTTGTAGAATTAAGTTGTTAGGGCTTATACCTATGAATAACAAGATGGCCTAGGTCTCTTTGACATTGTCCCAGTTGTCCAAAGTCTTGCTGTCTCCTTGTCAGTAACATGGAATGCCAACTGTGAAAGGCATTCTTGGTCCACTATTTCCAAATGATTTTTCCAATTCTGTTGGTATCCTTGCATTTATTAAACTATATTTGTAAATTTCAGTCCCTCTTACAGCCGCATTTCTTTGACAGTCTAATATAGTGAAGCTTATTAATGGCCTCAAAATGGGCTCTGCTCTCCCTGTAATTTTGTATCAATTGACATTTGTGTCAACATGTCTTTTAATTATACCGTTTATTATATTGTATTTTTGTAACTTCACACCAGCCTCTCTCTTCATTTCTGAAACCACGTTTTATAAGCAAATAAAATCAGATACTTGTTTTATAACACTTCCATGGATTTCTATTTTTGCAATTTTAACATCATATTTATGTGCATTATACCCTGTAAGTCCATTTATCATGCTAAGTAAAGCAGTTCTTAACATAAACAAAATTAAAACAGTCTGGTAAGATGTACTGGTTTACCATACAAAAGATCACAAAAATTGGTCCCATGATTTGGGCACTGCTACTTGAAGCAGATAGACAGACATGATGAACGTATTTAGTGTATTTCAGTTTTGTTTAAACTAACCGAAATATGTCTCAGCCTTCAGTAATAATCATCCACCCTGATATTTTTACTGTGTGTGAATCATGACTCACAGGCAGGAACAGTTACAATCCTAACAAATGCAACAAACCTGAAGCACTTGCACTGAGATTCAGAGGTGTATTGATGAGCTGTGTACCAAGACCAGCCATCCCCTGCAGGCCTGCAGCCAGAGAAGCAACCTGAGGTAGACTCTGAAGGGTAGCAAGGTTCTGGAGGTTCTGAAGAGTAACCATTCCTGCCACTAAACAATATAAAAACAAAATTACAATTTCTGTCCTTTATAAACCAGGGCAACCATTCAAAACATGTGTGTCACTGAATATTTAGTTTTCATTTTTCAGGTCTATTTCAAGATGCTCTTAGTGTCTCAGACTATACGGTGTCAAACAGCAGGGTGACTGGTGAGTAATGAATTGGAAAGAATCTGGAAGAAAGTGGCAACTGTGTAATCAAGGTACTATCCTAACATTTGCCTGTAGAGACCAGGGAAAACCACAAGACAAGGTACAGTGACGGAAGAATACTGACACAGGTTCTACAGGACATAACAAATCGATGTTGAAACAGAGGAATATCTTGGAAAAGATAGAATAAATATATGATGTCATAGAGGGCTCAGCTGCCTGTATGAGGAAATAACGAACAAAAAGAGGAAGAGGAATGCAACTAAGAATAAACTAGTACTCATAAGTGAGAGTAATTTACATTATGAGAAGCTCTGTGAAGAACTCAGCTGGCTTGGCTTGATGCCTGGTTCTGATGATTTCCTGCTTTGCTTAATCTTCAACTCTGAAGATGGAGGTGACATGTTCCTCTAAAACGCCTGTGTCTTTCTGAACTGCATGGGATTACAACCCAGAAGACCATAATCTTCAGTCTTCACCATCAGAAACTCAAATCCAACGTGGAACTTTGTGATTTACACAGATCACAATCACTGTTAGGATAGTAAAATATGAGAAGCTGTGAGTGTCCAGACAGGTAGTTTGAATGGGAGGACACAAGAAATGCTTAAAGAATTTTAGTAGGGAAATGGAGGAAAATATGGAAACAGATCCTTAGCAATTGGCCTAGGAAGACACTACCTCTAGATAGCGTTCAATGGCAGGATTTCATGTTAGTCCTTTGTGGTCTACCACCAGAGGTTTATTTAAATACGTTTAGTAATGAATAAGATATTTCTTAAGTAAGATTTGTAACTTTCACAGTGAACAAATGCACTAGCATTTTCTCAGGTCATTAAATGTATCATGCATGAGCTTAAAGCCAAAGTTTGAGAGACTTGCTCTGTTTCTGCCATCAGGGTTGACCCTTTCTTCTAGCTCAACCCATGATGTGACTGACTGACAGAGAAGATTTTAGTACGAATATCTCTTACTTGTCCCATTGATATGTGCGGCGCTGACTGCTGCCTTGGCAGAGTCTATAGCAGAGATGGGATCAGGTGAGTTTGGAGCTGAATGGTTATGTGTTGGAGTCCCAGGTAAGCTCTGGTTACTGTTGTGCCCATTAATTGAGAACACAGACTGTTGTTGTTGTTGTTGTTGTTGCTCTTGTTGTGGAGGGGGATGATGATGGTCAAGGGCCATTGGAGTACTGTCCACCCCCATAGCAGCTGGTTCAGGGGATGGTGAATTTGAATCACAGCTCTCCTGTAACAACAGAGAAATCCAAAATTATTGTTTGTCATCAGGAATGATGCCATAACTTTGAATAGTCATTAGTGAAGTCCAGAGATTTGCATACAAAGATACTGAGGCAGAAAATGACGGCGACTAATTATGATATATACTGATCAAGATGAGCAGAGGGACTAAGCTGATGACAATATCCTTTTCATTATCTAATATCTACAACTGTTCACTTTTCTCACTTCTCTCAGGTTAGATATTTTTCAGAGTACTTTGCATCTGAACAATTGTAATGCATGTTCCCCCACAGAAATAAGAGATCAAGTTCAGATCACAAATTTCTGAAATATGACAAGGCGTAGTTTGGTACATATGTACAAATACTTATAAGGAGCATGCTGCATCCTTCTTCAGGCTTGATTCTGGAATTGGAACTAGTATGTTCCTACAAAATGTTGGTACATATCTACCAAAATAAACGGTGTCACAACCTACAGGACCATAACCTGAATCACCATGATTTTCTGCGTTGTAATTCCATGTAGTCTGGTTCAGACCACCTTCCTAGCTTTCTCATTTACCCTGGTGATATATTCCTCTGAAACTCTGGTGGACTTTTACTGAACTACACAAGAATGCAGCCCAGGAGATTGTACTATTCACAGTCACTGATGTGAGTATCTCATATACAGTATATTTTTTGTTCATTCTGACATTTAGCATTACAGTTCTGAAATACAGAAATGAGTTTCTTCTCTTTGTAGTGCTCTTTATGGTGCTGTCACTAGCTACACTATACAGGGTGCTTCACGACTTTAGGGCATAACTGCAGGAGGTGATTTCCTAGGTTCATATAAAATGTGTCCAATTTTGGACGGTTACGGAGTTATGACCGTTTTTTCATTCCCATACACACCCTCCTGTGAACCGCGTCTGTCAGCTGTCGGGTTGCTATTTTTAGCTAGCTACAAACAGAGCGTTCTCGTTATCTCGACACTTGAGAGCTACCTAAGGCGGGGTGGGTTGGTATGTCCGGAGCGGTTCACAACCGAGAGGCAGCCTGTGTTGAGGCCGGCGGTGGCATTTTCGAAAATCAGCTTTAAGCACCAATCAATTCAAGTTAAAGGGAATTTCACGAAGTTAACTTTACATTCATACTTTAAATGTATCATGTATTATGCTGGTTTATTATTTTGTTCCGTTTATTGCCAGTAATCGTTACCTTCTATTCTGAGTTTAAAACGGTCATAACTCCGTAACCGTCCAAAATCGGACACATGTTTATATGAACTTTTTTGATCACAAAGACCTAGAAAATCACCTCCTGCAGTTATGCCCTAAAGTCGTGAAACACTCTGTATAGCATCAATTGGGAGGATGATAGTACTATTCCAGCATTAACCTCGAAGGACTGAGGAAAGGCAGGAGCAATCTCTGTTAGGACAGCAACAGTGCAAGCCGAAATTCGAACTGAGAACCACCCTGAATATGAGTCATGAGCGTTACTGCTACACCAACCCTATCAGAAGAAAATTTTACCTCAACGATCTGATTAGGGAAAAAATAAACTCAGGATACGTCCTTCATAATAACAATTCATCTGATGGATACAACAAAGACATATCTTTCATATAATGATTTCTCCCACTCCCAATACAAGTTCGTCATGTACCAAATAGCAGAAAGACAATTACAGAGCGTTATGATTGTATTGTATGCAATCATGCTTCATATTCGAGAGGCGTTGCATTCAAATCTCGGCACAGAAACCAGCTATTCTGACTGAAATTGTTGGTTGTTTACCTCAGCAACTCCAGGAAAATACCTATTCGTCTCTGTTATAGAGAATAATTAATATATATGCTTTGGGGAAAAGATCACTGCTCGTTATGAAAACCATATCAAACACACAAATGCACTCTGTGGGCACAATTAAGATTTGTAACGGTGCAAACCCCACTGTTAGACTTTCATCTCCGGGGCAACGATTTCCTAGGCTTCGGTGCCTAGGAATTGCTAGCCGTTGACCAGTGATGGACGTCTTATCGCCCGGCCTTCCTGGCGGCATGTCACAATACGTTAGAGCAGGTGGTAACCACCGGGCTTTAAAAGGTTAATAATGTTAGTGTCTGGTTTTGACAAGAGAGAAGTCTGGCATGGGTCTTGAAATAAATATAACCCACAGACCAGAATATTGTGGCGTATTTGGCCCGTGAAAGAACTGATGAGCTACAGAAACAGCCGTGATAAGTAATACAAGCACACAACAGAACAACAGGATTATGCAACCTGTTTCTAGGCAACAGCTCGGTAAACACGTTCCAAGGCGCAACAATTGAAACTGTGTCTCAGTGGACAAATGTTATAGCTCCTTGCTAGGCAGCAGTCGGCGCGCAAATAAGCTGGCTGAGTGGCAATCACGTGACTTGTGTCCTCTCTGCGGTCCATGCGGAGCCTGTATAAGGAGGGTCTGCTGTAGCTTAGACTAGTTCAGCAGTTAAGAGTACCGGCATGAGAATGGAGCATGTCCTTATTGAAATGTGAAGATTACTTGAGTACAGATCATGTCAAAGGAGTACAGAGGGACTGATGACGAAATAACACGCAAACTTAATAGTGATTTGAAGTGCTAGTCTCTGTGTTGCGATCCGTTGCCAGGAGACGACTAGTGAAGGAGAATCCAAGGGCGCGTGCAACAGTGAACTGAAAGTGTGCAGAATAGCGATAGCGTTCTAATTGAGTGTAATTAAGAGAACTTGTAACCGAAGTGCAAATATAAATCCAATCATTTGAGCTAGAGCCCGTTATTTCGTCACGCGTACCCCCTACAACTGATGATATGTATAAGGCGTGACATAATTGAGGCTCGCGAGCCACGTGTGGCTCTCTTTAACTGTTAGTGCAGCTCGTGTAAAGAAAAATTAGTCAATCTATTTTTTTCTTACAAAATAGTTGAAGTATAAATATCTTACTCGTGGAAAGCGTGCACTTAAACACCAGTGTCATCCAATCTATGCCTGAAGAGTTCTATGACCTAGGATATAACGCTGTGTAGTCCCGTAAAAATATACCGACGTTTTGGAGGAACATGACCATCTTAACGGTAGAAAAGTTAGAAAGAACCAAGTGTGAAGCACTGAGCAAGCAAAGCTCTACTTGGCTTACTCTTAGATCATGACGATGAGGTTATCACCAGACTACACGGTATTATTTCCAGAAGAGATCTCTTCATATTCACCGATGTGAGAACCTAAAATAAAAAAGAAGTTCTGGGAAAACCTAAACGACGAATCCAACTGGTGGAAAGGGTGTTTTCTCGGTGGTCCGGCCTGAAGTCATTTAAACACGACGTCATGCATGAGTCACGCGAGAATCGGAACCAATAATGACTGTGCTGGCTATACCAGCATTAACTTACCCGGCCCTATAAACAGACATACTGAATCACGCACAGACAGTAAGGTGATCTCATAAGACCCCTTTAATTTTTTCAAAATAAGCGAAGCTCTTTGCGGCTCCCTTTACTTCTGGAAATTACTATATGCGGTTCCAATGTTAGTAAGTTTGGTCACCCCTGACACATAACTTTCAACTGGCTCATCACATAACTTTGCACTGACCATATACAAACCCAGAACAAACATTAAGGTGCTTTATTTGAAGCAGCTCATACACAGTGGCATTGTGCTCCAGAGATAACCCTCGCTATCACATCGCAGCCTGGTACAAATGAGTCTGGTGAGAGGATGGGTATCCATGATAGCATTAAAAATGTCAGATTGTTTCTCAAATCAGTTTCGGACATTTCACAACAGATAAACACACACAGAAGGGCCCACAAAAATGTATGCACACTTTAATATAAGTTATCTGCGGACATTTTCAAAGTTGAAACGGAATGTAAAGTACGATATGTAGTGTGATATTCTCTCAGAAGATGGTGTTAGTCATATGAATGTCAGAGCCATCTTGTCGAATGGCGGATCAGTCAAAGAAAATGGCGGAACGGTGTGTATACATTATATATAATAGAACGCTGCAGAAGTAACATATGTTGCCGAGCAGGCTGATGTAGCGGTAACGCTTTGGACTCGAATCTCGGCCGGGGCACCAACAAGCTTGATTGAGGTTATGTGCGGTTCTCCTTAGCCCCTCCAGCCGAATACCGGTACAGTACGTCCATCAGGCCAAGGTCGCTGTCTTCCATATCCTAATTAGTCCTTCATCAAACATGCTACAAGTACACGCTATACAGTCGAGACATTGGCATCTTCGTGGGGCATCCGATGTAAATACGACTAATACGGAGTCACACGCCATAGAAAACTGTTATATTGATGTTCGTAGCTCTGAGGACCGTATGTCTTAGGTGGCCCACACACGTACGAGTCTGGCTCGGATTAATTTCTCCGCACACGTATGAGCGTGGCGACCCACACACGGACGAGTTTGGCTCACTGGAACCCGAAGCGAATCGGACTCGTACATGTATGGGCCCCCTTAGGGTGGCCGCACACCAACTGCGCGAGGACAAGCATCAAGACATGAGACAAAAGACGCAGGCTTGCTTCATTCGTGATTCGTCAGCATGAAGCTGACGTCAGCATCATGACTCAGACCGGTGTGCGGCGGTTTTCATAATATCCTTTCTTTGCGTCATGTCGCAGACATCGTGTCTTTACTGTTATATGTCTTGACGCATGACGCTGTGCGGCCTACCTAATGTGTGCATTAACGAATCAAGGTTTAGGAAAGTGGTTATTATGTACTATTCAGTATTATCCTGGAATTCACTTGAAGAGCATGAGGAAATTCATGAAAACTGGATAGTCGATAATCAGGGTGCGATTAGGCCGTGCCATAGTTCAAGTGAGGAGTCAGGATACCTCAGTCGGTACAACGACTGGCTATGCTTGACGGCCTGGGTTCGATTACCGGCAAGTATAAGAAATTTTCCTCTTTTCCACAGCGTCCAGACCGGCTGTGGCCCACAAAGCCTCCTATCCAATGGGTTCCGGGGG